AACATGACTCTATCTAGAAATTAAATTAACCAGCACAATATATATATATATATAGGGTGAGACTATTCTACACACGGGGTATAGAATAGTTATTCTATACTATACCCCCTCCCCTTTCTCATCTGTACCGCCCATCCCGTCCCCCTCCCTCCTCCCGATTCCCCCCACCCTCCCCCTCCCGATCTATCCTGCCCCCCTCCCTCTCCCGATTCCCCCTCCCCTTCCCTCTCTCTCTCCCGACTCCCCCCTCCTCCCGATTCCCTCTAAATTTACTTTTATGATCTTTGAAGGGTAATATCTCTCATATCATGTACTACTTTTAAAAACCGTTTGCACCATGATGTTCGAAAAAAAGTGCTTATCAAAAGTAGATCCATCATGACTATATTATGACTGAATTTTAATTTTATTACTGCAAGTAAAACACGGTGTTACTGCACGATGAACAAGACGTTACTACGCCGTTCCGATATGAGAGCTAAGAAGAGAGGGGGTGGTGGGGGGAAGTCATTGGCGGGTTTGACCGAGATTTGACCAAAGTGGGGGACCTTTGACTAGCCTTTGACTGAGGTGAGAGGTGGGTTTTGGGCCTATTCTATACCCCGGGTGTAGAATAGGGTGAGACTATTCTACACCCGGCACCCACCCTCCCCTTTCTCATCTGTACCGCCCCTTCCCTCCCCCTCCCTCCTCCCGATTCCCCCACCCTCCCCCTCCCGATCTATCCTGCCTCCCTCCCTCTCCCGATTCCCCCTCCCCCTCCCTCTCCCGACTCCCCCCTCCTCCCGATTCCCCCTACCCCTCCCTCTCCCTCTCCCGACTCCCCCCTCCTCCCGATTCCCTTTTTTTTCTGGTTTTTTCTTCCCAAAACATTTTTTTCTCTTTTCTAGGAAAATAAAAAATAAATTTGCCAAATTCAAAACTTGAACCCATAACCTCATAGTTCAAAGCACATTCTTCTAACCAATTCACCTAATGATATTATTTGTTTCAAGAATTTTGTGAGAAAGTAATATGATTATCAATTCTAATATCTTTCACTACCACCGTAAAACAAAAAATAAAGATATGTTACTACGAAACTCATAACATGTTACTATGCTCCAATAGTAAAATTATCATAAAAGTACATTAACACGTTACTGTAGAACACATAGGACGTTACTGCAATAACGTCGTGGTAAAATTGTAGTAGACCAGGAATCGAAACAAAAATATATGGGTTAAAGCCTCACATGCTAACCATATACTTGTTACTGCACAAAAGTAGAAGTGTTACTGCATAATAGGTGCATGTTACCACTTCCAAGTAGCTATGTTACTGCATGATAATTGTAGTTTTACTATGTCATTTTTACAAGATGAAGATTGAATAGGTGGGCCATAGGTAAAGTCTGTAGTTGGCTTTGAGCGAGGTCTGATTGATGTAGGAGTGTTTTGAACAATTTTATACATTTGGTCAAACCATGTTACTGCATGTATATGCCCCTGTTAATGCATATTACACATTCTGTTACTGCATGTGGAGGGTTAAAGTTCAAAATGCCAATATTTGAAAAGCAATATCTCACAAGATATGCATTATTTTTTAAAACCGTTTCCATCATAATGCTATAGTGCAACTGCATGTGGAGGGTTAAACTTCAAAATGCATCTACATACTCCCCTCCTCAAGAAATCGTTCTTCCTCCCTCTTCTCAAGAAAACTGGTCTCTCCCTCCAATATAGTGTTACTGCGTGCATGTATATGATGTTACTGCACTTTTGACAGTAATATTGTGGTGAATTGTAGTAAACCTGGAATTGGAACAAAAATATATGGGTTCAAAGTCTTAGATGCTAACCATATACTTGTTACTGCACAAAAGTAAAAGTGTTACTGCACGGCAGATACACGTTACTACCTGATAGTTACACATTACCGTATGTTTATGCAGTAACACTATCCAAGAACTGTAGTAAAAAAAACTTTATTACTGTAGTACATATAGAGCGTTACTGCATCTTAATTTGGCAGTAACATCGTGATGAAATTGTAGTAAACCAGGAATAAAAAAATATATGGGTTAAAACAAACGAGTAAACCGAGCCAATTCCCCATATTCTTGTAGTAATGTTACCAAGTAATTGCAGTAACACACTATGTTAATATGAAACTTATAATCATTACACATCTTGTAGTAACGACATGATGTGATTGCAGTAACGCAAAACATGCACTAGTAACACCTTTTGATATACTATTACTGCTTGTGGAGAGTTAAATTTTTAAGAACAAATCTTTGAAGGGTAATATCTCTCATATCATGTACTACTTTTAAAAACTGTTTGTACCATGATGTTCGAAAAAAAGTGCTTATCAAAAGTAGATCCATCATGACTATATTATGACTGAATTTTAATTTTGTTACTGCAAGTAAAACACGGTGTTACTGCACAATGAACAAGACGTTACTACGTCATTCCGATACGAGAGCTAAGAAGAGAGGGGGTGGTGGGGGAAGTCATTGGCGGGTTTGACCGAGATTTGACCGACGTGGGGACCTTTAACTAGCCTTTGACTGAGGTGGGAGGTGGGTTTTGGGCCCTTAGAAGTAGATGAGGTGGGTTGGAGGGAGGAGGGTGTAGAATAGCTATTCTATACCCAGGGTGTAAAATAGTTTTTCTATATGGTGCACCCGCTAAGTACATACGGTTTGGAAAGTGAAAACACCTGCATGCATGCACACATTTGGAAACATCAATTCTGCATATTTAATAAGTTGGCATGAATGTTGTTCGGTTGGCAATTGGTTTCCATATATTTGTCAACGGAAATCATGGAGTTGCGGTTTATTTGGTAATGATACAATCGTGTATATGGTAATATACTCCGAAATTTTGGGACAAAAGTATATGGAAATCCAAGTATACGTATACGGTGCAGTTGTAATCTAAGTATACGGAAATCGAAGTATATGGAAATCTAAGTATATGGAAATCGAAGTATATATATGGAAATCTAAGTATACGGAAATCAAAGTATATGGAAATCTAAGTATAAGGAATCTAAGTATACGAAATCTAAGTATAAGGAAATCGATATATATGGAATCTAAGTATAAGGAAATCGATCGATGTATATGGAATCTAAGTATATGGTATGACTATGTACACGTAACTAAATTAGTCCGTAGGACTTTCCAAATACAAAAAATGTTTATACTTAATAATGGAATGTAATAGCTATGCATGGAATGTAGTAGGTACCCATTTAAACATGTATATTTATTTTTCCCTGAAAAAAAACATGTATATTTGGTATATACCCATTTTTAAAAAAAAGTATTGCGTATATGTACCCATGCATGGAAATTGTTTTTGGAAAAGGGCCCACGACACACACTTGGGGCCACTTAGCCTTTCTTTCCGAGTTTACTCAACAGTTTTCTACAAATTATTAGATGAATTGTTTAGTTGTTTTCAAAATGTGAGTTAAATGTTTTAAAATTTGAGATGAGAGTTTCTAATTTTGGTTGAATTTTTCTAAATATTTCTAAGTGATTGGCACCCTAATTTCGAATCCCGATACAAGTGCATATTAGCAAAACCAATTAGATAAGAGTTCGATCCGGGTTATGTACATCCTATGTGTGGTTGGGTATATGCTTTTCCCTTTTGACTTAATCAATAATTATGGTAGAGATTTAGAGAAAACGATCGAATGACACATTGAATAATCAACATTAGGGCATGTTCAATGGTAGAGACGGGTATGGTCTCTTAAACAATACAAGATTATTTAGAAACCATATCTTTACAATAGTTAAGACGACAAATGCTCTAATCATTAACTCAAAAAATATTCCTTTTGTTAATATTCTTTCCATATTTATATCCTCATGCAACCATATTTTCATATTATAGTGACTAAGAGTCGTTGTTAAGCCGTTGTCATGCATAACAACGATGTTTTGTCTCTCCTCTTTCTCTTTCCTCCATGTCAACAAATATTCCTAATTAGCAATGCTAAAAGACCACTATTAACAACCATTATACATGCCCTTATATTTCTAACTAATTTCTAGCTATCCTGTCGGTAATGCAGCCGTGCATATATATTTTTTGGATTGGATACGGAAATACAGAAAGGGGTGGTAACTAAAGTACAGTAAACATTGTTTCAAGATAGATGCCACTAATTTTTACACTGTATTTTGTAACTTGTAAATATCAAACTCCACAAGTGATGCTTAGTTCTCCGATATGACTTCATTTCTGGCATATACCCTTCATTTGGTTGATATGTGCAGTAGACATGCTCTCAGCATTTGGATGAGCAATTTTGCCGTGATTGTGTGATCTTGAATTTGATCGCTAGGAGGATGAACGAGCAACTTATTAGGAGGATCCGCTCCCATCTTGAGGTCTTGATTACCAAGGGAAATTGTTTACACTAAACCTGAAAAAAAAGGGAGAACTGATACATGTCAGGATATAAAAAGATTGAAACAAATTACCCACGAACCATGCCAGCGACCGGCTATGGCAACGACGAACCTCGTGGATGACCGACAGAGACAACAACGTATCTCATGGGCGATCGATGACGACGTCGTGGCGTCAAAGCTTGCCGATGACTGCCGACGGCGAAGAACCTCGCAGAGTATGACTGGCAACAATGCGGCAGTGACTAATTAACCTCACGGATGACAGGCGGCGAAATGACATTGTGACGAAGCTTGCAGCAGCGCGGAGCAACGGCAGGACGTTATACCGGCATATAATTTAATAAATTCTAAAATTTGGAATCCAACGGGATATATACGGAGTATATCTATATATATACACAGAAAAAATGAAACGTCTAAATTCATATACATGCAAAGAAATCAATTCAACGTAATTAATGGCCTTGATTCTACCTATAGCTCAACAAATGGTTTCGCTCGTCACTCTTTCTTTCATTCCTCGTAGAACGGTCCAGATTAACTCGTGAAATCCGGACGGCTGAGATCGATCCCACATCCCATTGCCCGCACTCTCTCGCTCTCCCACTCGCACCTGCGCCGCATCCCCAATCCCGCTCCCGCACGCGCTGACGCCGGAAACTGCTCCGCCATCAGCGCTCCCATCACAACAGCCTCGCCGATCTGCCCCGCAGGTGCCGGCTCGCCGCAGTCTACATCGCCGCCCACTCCGTCGTCATCGAATCCGTCCTCGGGCAGGAATCACGTCGCCGCCGGTGCCCTCCGCGCCGATCTGTTCCTCACCGCCACCGATCCCCGCTGCCGGCTCGCCCTCCACCGACCCCCCGCCGGAAGCCCTTCTGTCGCCAGGTCTCCGCCGATGCATTCCACGCCGAGTTGCTCCTCGCCGCCACCGATCCCTGCTGCCAGGTCGCTGTCGACGCCTTCCGCACCGAGCTGCTCCTCGCCGCGCCGCCACGGCGACGACGATAGACTCCTCAGCAAGTTGCTCCTGCCGACCACCTAGCTAGCTAGCTAACGTCTCGACGATGTGTTTGTGGCTAGCTAGAGCTCTGATGCGGCAGCTTGTATGGTGTGGCTGGAAGACGACGACGCAGCGTGTGCGAGAGGATGGGAGTCACAAGCTCCAGCCTTAAGGGAGGGGAAGGAGCATAAAAAAAATTGAGGGATGAAAAGAGAAATAAAAAGTTAAAAACAGAGAGAAGACAAAATAGAAAAAAATTTGGAAGATTGGAAGAGAGATTCAGAAAATTTAATTCAGTGGCTCATGACCGTTGTTCTAAAGGTAAATAAGCATGATTTTCTACTTGCATATTGCAATTGTTAATCGGTTGATGAAAGGACTCCAAAATCTCAGTATCAAGTTATACTAATAGCATCACTGCATTTCAACGGTCATGAGTATCAAGTTATACTAATAGCATCACTGCATTTCAACGGTCATGAGTATCAAGTTATACTAATAGCATCACTGCATTTCAACGGTCATGATCATGCAGATAGGCCTGCAGTTCGCTACCGAGGTGCAGGATAGCTAGGAAGGAGATAACTGGAGCAGTACTTGTGTCATAGACTGATAGACAGTGCCGATCGACGAGGTGAGCTCTTAATTTGTAGTTTCATATGTAACTGCATTATCTGATTATTGTCAGTTCATCAGACAGTTGCATCGAGGATACTGGGCTTTTGGTCCCATAGCTTCAAACAAAAAGACCGCTTTGTAGTTTCAATCTGGAAATCCATTTTCGTTGGTCCCATGCGGTGAAGGTAAAGACAGTTTGACCTATTGTTTCTGCTATTTTAATATGTACAAGGTGCTATCGGTGCTTATATGAACATATGCTATCAGTTATACATATCAACTATCTGTTTATTTTCGCTTTCCCAAATAATGAATACTATATGTTCCATGGCATTTTACAGGGCACTTTTTGGGGAAACCATAGTAATACACTTGTATGTTTATTATTGTGGGTTAACTGTATAATTTACGTTCGGACTTGTTCCCTGTAAAGCCAACATAGCTGGACTTTGTATTCGAAATACCGATAGCCATCTAAAACTTGGCCAACATTGTTTCAGATTTATGGGTCAAATATTTTTCCATTTTTTCCAGCATTTGGTTGTTTCTTGTTGTTATTTGAGATTTATAGGACTGGTCTTGATCTGGGTGAAATGCTTAATTGATGTAAAATTTGACCTTAAATTGCAGCCATTATCCAGTCAATATTGCACAGAAGTACTAGTAATACTGTTGAGCTATAAAATACAGCTCATATGAAGTTTATTTTTTTCACGTTTCTCATAACTTTGTCGATTTACTCGGTAATTGTGCATAAGACTGAAGACCCTTTCCCAGTAACTGGTCTACATGAACCTTTGTCAAAGCTGCTAAGCCTTTTCAACAAGTTGGATCTGCAAACTGATAATCATCTGAGAAAATATTAGGCACAATTATTAGACTCAAGTAAGAGTGTCTCGTTACCCATATTTGTCTATATGATTCAAGAATTCAAAATATTTGCAGCCACTGAATCCTTATTAATACTTTTCTATTCTTCTATGTAGACTTTACATATATATACTAACCCTCTACTGACTGGACGGGTGCTTTGATCTTTGCATATAATGACCCTGTACTGATTTGTTTTGGACTAGCATAATTAGTATAAATGGTAATACTGTTCTAGCATATTTATATGCCTTTTCACATGAAAAACTGTTGTGTTTTTTATTTAGGAGCTCCATAGCATTGGTGCTCTGAGCACTTAAATGCCAGCATAGAACTCAATTCAAGTACTTGAGTGATTTGATTGTCTGTCTTGAATCTTATTAGAAAATTGGGCTCCACTCTGCGCCGGCAACCCCGGCGAGCAACCTCTGCACCGCCACCTCCCCCGTCGTCTGGTCTCCACCACCGGTAAGAAATTGCAGAACCCCACGTTTAATTTAATTAAAAATCTTTTCTGTTCAGAGCTGCAGATTAGGTGTTTAATTTCTTCATGGCACCCTTCATGCAGAAGGAATTACTCAAATCAGGTAATGTCTCTATTCCTATTATTACCTACTCATGTACTCCTGTTCGTATCTTCTGACTGAATTCAGAATGTATTATCAGATCGATTGCTTCAGTAAATTTTATGTTACATAACCAATTGAATGAAGTTTGTATCCATATGGTGGAACCTGGGTTGTTCCAAGATGAATGACTGGGTTACTCGCTCAGAAAATTATCAACTGCAATTCTCACCAAACCACCATACTTAACATGGAGAAGCAAAATATTTTAATGCCGGCTGAATTTACATGCTTCACATTAATCTCTTATGGTCAATGTGTTGTTGCAACCTATGCTGAAAATAATGCCCCTTCCCACTTTGATTCCTTTACTATATTGGGTTATTATTGCAAGGTGTACAACTTAAGGGGTCCAATCTGCATTGTGTCTTGTACATGTCATAAATTAGTAGGTTACAGCTTCCTGCAAATAGTCCTTTTCAATGGATGTTCCTGATAAATGCACTTAGTGATTCCCCTTAATCACCGAATGTGAGAGGTTTTTAATTTATTTAATGTGAAAATAGATTTATTTCCCATGTGAACTATTAACTATTAACTGTGACAGTTTCAATGTTGAGGCAAATTGCTGACTTTCTCAAAACAGCTATGCGATAGTAAGCTAAACACATGCATGGAGTATTGTTCTTTGTACATTTAGCTAGGATAGCAACCGTGCTAGCAGCTCTTACTCAAATCTGATATAACTTTCAGTATACTGTTAAACTTTGAGTCATTTATATGCGTGGAGTGCAAACTTAAGTTTATTATTTATATGCCCTGGAGCGTATACTGAAATTTATTATTTATATTGCCTTGTTTTTATATTCAGCCATCACGTTTTACTAATAACTGTTTTATATCCTTACTCGTACTGTCGGCTCATATCAGACACAAGTGAAGCTATTTGAGGGATCACTAGCTGTACCAATTTCTTTCCAGTTACATTGGTGAACAAAATTGATATAGGTACTGCAACTAGATCAGTCGCACAGAACTTTCTCCAAATTGGATTGGCCTCATTCCTGATGACTACATAAACATCATGGAAAAAATTGTATGCGATGTGTGTTTGATGTTAGGAAGTATGTGATGTGGATTTGGGTGATCTTACCATCTTGTTGGCTTTTACATGGCATGATTGACAGTGTGTAAATAAAATTATTTAGTGCTCTGTAAAAATATATGTTGCTTGTTGATGTCTTAATGGGCATGGATAACATTGTCATCTTACATAAATACTATGATTTTTTTTTTCACTAGGCTCTCGACAAATTTATATTCAGCAGCACAACATGCACACTTAAGTTCCACTTGAGCATATAGTTCTGCCACATCAATCTCATGGTCTGCTCTGTTTCATACTATATGTTAACACTTGTGTCTAAATATGTACTTTTGCCATTGGTAAATTTTAGTAGTCGCTCCATGTAGATATTGAAGAAGACGTTAACGCGATGACCAACAATTGTTATATACATCATGAAACTATTACTTTGATATTTATATCATATCAAACTGTTATTTGGATTTATATTCACGCCCTTATGCTATGTTCTCAATGGGCTGCGGTCAACGTGTGCCTTGTGTGACAAATTGAATTGCACCGTAGCGTTTAGCACGGGCATATTCCTAGTCTTCTCAACGTAATTATAATCACGTTCAATACTACGTTTAGAAAACGCATGCAAGCAAATGAAATATGGAATGGTTCAGATGCTAATATTTCTTAACGGGTTAAACCCGCTAATTTGATTAATACCCATTTTTTGGTTTGCACGAATCCTAAAGCAGCTAGACGGTGGATGATCATGGAGCCCGGGCACCATGGAGCACCAAACAAATTTACTTAGTGATAATATGATAATTTGTTCAATGAAAAAAGGCATTAATTAAAGTTACTTTCTTTTTGTTACAAGTTACTTCTATAATATATGTAAATTACTTTTAGGCTTTATTGAATTTACTTTTATATGTCTAAGAAGTAACTTAATGAAATCTAAAAGTAATTTAGACATATCATAAAAGTAATTTATGATTTTTCATCAAAATATAATCATGTGAGATCTTGTTGTAAAGATTTAATTATTACGAACACAACGGTGTAATCGGATTGTAAATCGGATGAGTAATTTAAGAGAAAATTTTATTTGAAGCATAGATGATAGGAATATTTCCCCTACTTGCTCAATGGATTAATAGCAACCAAAACTCCTAAAGTACTAGCACATGGGTGTCTCTGGTTAAGACTAATTGGAGAGGCCTCTCCAATTAGATTTACTGTAAAAAAAAGCACATCCGCCGAGCTTCCCCCATCAATCAACACCCTTTGTACTTCACATTGGGTGATTTCTACCGAAACTACCAAAGGATCTTGATGGGGAAACAAGATTCCCTCAGCATCTTCTGGACCAAAGGAAATTACTGTCTTTGAGTAAGTTGGTGGGTTTGACTGGTTACTTGTTCCTACATGGTTTATCTGTCTGACATATGCCTTTCTTTGTCTCTTTGACTCAATACCCAATGAAGATCCTTCTGTTATGGCATTGATTACCCTTTTCGGTACCTCATCAATTGCTTCTATCTTTAAAACTTGCGGTGCTTCTATAGCATTTTGCGCTCGTTGCTCTCGAGCCCCTTTATACTTGTTCTCATATTGATTGATGTGTTTTTCCACCAAATGGGCCATGTGCCAGCATTCTTCTATTGAATGACCTCCTGGTCCATGAATTTGACAAAATTTGCTATAACATTCCTCCGTGGAATGACCACTTGGGCCATATGTTTGAAAGAATTTGCTTTGATCTTTTTGACTTTCTTGTCCTCTACCTCTTCAATTATTCCACCATCTTCCTCTTCCACGGCTAGAATTCCACCATTGGCCTCGACCTCTACCAGATTGCCCCCAATAGCTTTTTCCTCCTTTTGGGTTATTCCACTGGTTTTTACCTTTTCCATCTTGCCGAAAGAATCCTTCACCATTGTTTGATCCATCACCAATATAGTTAATTTGCTTCTTCTGTTCTTGCTTGTAATCATGTTTGAACTTTTTTCATGGTTTGTTTGTGTTTTCCACTTTTTGTTCTTCCCCTTGGGAAACTTGCTTGTTCTTTGACTGTTTTTTTACCTAACAAAGCTACTTCTTCTTCTTGCACTCTCAATTTGTCTTCTTCACCTTTTGTAAAACTTTCCATTCTCTCAAACAGGTCTTTCGCTGTCTTTGGTATGTTCCTTGCAAGGTCAAAACGAAGTGGACCAGGCAACAAAGCTCTTTTTGCAGCTGCTATGAGCATTTCGTCATCCACTTGTCTAATTTGACACCTAACTCTGGAAAACTTTACAATGAAACTCCTCAAAGTCTCGCCTGGAAGTTGCTTCATTGCATATAAATCATCTGTCTCTTTTGGTTCTTCATAAGCTCCAACAAACCCTGCTCGAAAAGTGTCCATCATGTGTTCCCATGAGTAGATTGTCATAGGAGGAATGGTTGTATACCATGACAATGCAACTCCTTCCAACATGGTCGGAAGTATTTTAGCTTTTACTGTATCATCTCCTCCTGTTTCTTCAACTATTGTTTCATACACCCTTAAATACTCATTGGGGTCTATATCTCCTCTATATTTTGTGATGTTTGATAACTTGAAGTTTGTTGGGCAAGGTGCCATTTGTAGGTTTTGGCTTAAAGGGTTTTTTTTGTATCTATGGCTCTGGTTGGTTGAAAGTAAGGTAGTGTGGGCTAGAATTGGAAGGTTTGGTTTGGTATTTGACCTGCATATTGTATATGTTGGCCATTTGTGGGATGTACCCTTGTTCGAGCATCATTTCCAGTTGCTGTACATGGAAGGGGGAAAAATCCTGGGAAAGTTGGTTATGGTTTTGAGCTGCTTGAGTGCTTGGTGGTTGCATCTGTGCAAATTTGGGTTGGGATGTTTGAATTTGAGGTATCTGAACTTGTGGAATTTGTATTTGTAGTATGTCGTTTTGTGGAAGTTGTGTTTGTGGGATATCACTTTGTGAGATTTGCATTTGCGGGATGTGAGTTTTTCTGTACATGAGGTTGGGGGATCTGGATTGGAAAGGATTTGATAGGTTTGGTTTGGAGGAATACGAATTTCATGGAATTGTGTTTGAGGATATTGTATGTGGGTAGGGATTTGGGTTTGAACTGGGATATGTGGCTGAATGGGAATGTGTGTTTGAATGGGAAGTTGGTTTTGAAGAGAAAATTGTGTTTGAGTAGGAATTTGATTTTGGACAGGAGTTTGGACTTGAGCTAGAAATTGAGCTTGAATCTAATTATGTGTTGGGTTAGGATTTTGAGTTTGAGTTGTATTTTGGTTTTGACTAGGAGTTGGGATTTGAGTTGGATTTTGAGTAAGAATGGGAATTTGGATTTAAGGTGGGTTTTGAATTTGACTGGAGGCTTGAGTCCACGGTGGGTCTTGAGCCTAGGTGGCTTTGATACTTTCTCCTTCTTTGTTTCCCTTCTGAGCATCTTCCTTTGTCTGATCTGATTGCTTCTCACCAACCCTTGGTGTTGCACCTTGATCACTTGATCCTCCTGCTCCTACTGCCTAGCTGTGTAGAGCTTGCAATTTTTGCAACTCCTCATATTGTCCTTTACTCATCATGACGGCCCCTTTGTGCTTGGACCAATTCAGCGAGTTCTACTTCATTTAGGGGTGTTTTCCCTGTTTCTTCCACCACTGTGCTAGCAATTCTTTCTTCTTGACTTGTTCCATTACCTTTCGCTGGTGTGGATGTTTTGGCCATTTCTGCCCACCGCTTGTCAAGTGCTTCCGTTGCTTTTACCAAATCACTTTCCTCCACTATTTTTTCCCACTCTCTCTCAAGTGGGGCTGTTGCGCTTGCAAAAGCTCCCATGTAGTGTACCGGCACAATTTTCTGTCGTTGCGAGCGTCGCATTTACTGTTTGAGCCCAATCCAACGGAGACTTTATGTCCCCACAGACAGCGCCACTGTCGTGACCTTAGGTCACGAACCAGATCGGGGATAAGCTGGAAAGAAGTTTTCCCGCCTATCCTTAGAAATGAGCTCAAACAGCAAACACAACTTCTGAGGATTACTTTTGTATTAAAAATGTCTTGTCCTGCGACGGGAATTTGACCAGCTTTTATAGCCTACAGTCTTACATATGATATTACATTTCTACCCTCACAGGCTTTAGTGAACTTCCTATAATGCTCTTGCTATGTCATCAACCCTAGGAGCATTATGGTATATTTTCAGAGTCATTATAGTCTTTTGGCTTTAGCTGGCAAGAATGGTTAATAAGTAGTCCCCACAAAATTTTTCATTCGACTTCTTCTTTGCCCGAATATGTTTTCCCTTCGAGTTCTCTAGCCGAATGTCTTCTGAGCTTGGGGGCCCGCACATTCTTCACCAGCTTCCCCAGTTGCAAGGTTCCCGTGTTGATCAAATATACAAAGTTTGTTTTCTGAAATAAAAAAAATGACTTATGTAAATCGACGGAGGGAGTAACTCTTTAATACTACTTCGATGTGGTGAGTTACTGAGATGAATCAAAGGATCTTCCAGAAAAAAAAAAAAGAGCCCCATTAATATCTTGGCCAGCAGGAGCTGAAGTACATATTCAACGGATATCCTATGCATTTACCCTATAAGAATGTACATTATTTGCAGCTAGAAGTTGCAGACCGTAAAACTGTAAGTACTATACACACTTGAAAGAACTACCTAGGCCTACTGCAACGCAAGGAGCGATGAAATATAAATCCCTAATGAGACGGCCCCAACTGTTGCAACTGCTTGAGTTAACTCCAAGAATAAATTTGGCCTTTGAGCAGGCAGCTCCTTCCAGTTTGTCCTCCTGCCAAGAAATAAGATACAGTGAATGTGGTTAAGAGATGCTGACCAAGACCAAAGAGATCCACTATAGCCTGATTATAGTGACGGAAAAGGAGCAAATTGTGCGAAATGGGCATCATCTCATAATGCGTTTGAAATCGGAATGGGAAGAACTCTAGAACAAGGACAACATCGTTCATGCACAAAATGCTTGAATTCGTTCTAAACAAACATCCAATGTAAAGGTTAAGAATCATTACCCCAAGTCAGCTATGACTATACTAATGTTGTCTTGCGACCGACGATCCTGCAATTGGAAATAAAGCAAGAAATTTAAGAAAGCATTTTCGATATGCAGGGTCCACCAAATCATATTTGATAATTAACTTTATAAATAAGAGAATAGATAAGTGGCAAAGTAAAAGGTGGCAAGAGTCAATACCAGAGCTATCTGACCAAGTGCCTCACAGGCAACCTACACAAACAAATGAAAAATAAGCAATATTAAAAATAAGTTGCAAAAAGAAACATAATGAGTTCTTGATTTGAGAGGAAATAAACTTCATACCTGGACATCCCCATGTTGCCGTAGTTGATCCCTAACTAATGCTACTGCTTCAGAGCTATATAAGATAGCCAAATTATACATGTCAAAGTGTTGAATAGCCAACTAAGATGTCTTCAGGAGGCAGACAAGAACGAATATAAGCAGGACAACTACACAATAAAAAGATTTGTGTACATACCTTTTAATGTAATCCCAAAGACCATCTGTTGCTAGCAAAACAAATTCCACATCTGGTCCAAGTTCGACCAGGGATACGTCAGGTGAAGAGACTATTAAATCTCCTTTAAAATTTATTCTGCAAGAAAGATATTGATTACATACATAATCACAGAAGAAGAGACATATTGTGTAGTTAAGACATCTCATGACATGCAGCAGCAGCATTCGCCAATAAAAGGTGTAAAAGTTGGAATACTGAAGAATGTTTGTTCTTGAGAGTAAGCAGATATATAATTGAGAATGTATGGTCAGTAATTAGCTCTCAAATTATCTTGGCAACAGTTGATAAGGAACTCAATTGATAATTGTCAACATATAAGAAAAAGAAATCAGGTTATTACATACTAGTAGAGGGTAAGTTGTGGCTAAGAATTCAGATGATATTTAGCCCTGCTATTGTGTTTTATTTTCACCATGAGAATGAAAAGAGAAGATGTAACTGAACAAATGGCCTCGCTGTTTGATCAGAATTAAGAATAGCTGCATTGGTATGTTTCTGAATTCAGATGTAACGGAACATATCAATACAAAAGAAAAACAAATACTTGACAACAAGTCATAAAAAAATCATAAGAACAAAAGCATTAGAGCTTAACCGTGAGATAAACTTTTCAGTCCATCTCCCTTCTTTAACTCCTTTTACCAACATCCTGTACAAAACCATGAGAAGTTAAAAATTAGCAGGGTATTGTTTCGAAATAATGTAACAAAAGGTATGCTTAATGTATGAACAGAGAACAGAGAGTATAAGGGACGAACTCATTCTTCCGTGTCTTAAATCTAATGTCTCCAAAAGCACGAGACACAGAAATTTCTCCACATATGCGTCCATCAACAATCTACAAAAAGTACATCGATATCGTAACAAAGAAGAGTCACATGAGTGAGATCGGCATTTCAAGCAGTGAACAAAATATCCATCAGCATATTATATTACTCCATACAGCACCAAACCCATTTATTCTCTGTAAAACCATAATAATGGGTCTAAATGGACAATATGCAACCACAGGCCCACAGCAGTAGTATGACTAGTAACCACTAACTTAGAATGTGAATTACAAACTAGAAGAGCAAACAATGTGCTAGAATTTCACCGGGTCAATCCTGTTGATTATTGTTCCATATGGCCATATTTGAAAAATGAACTGCAATCTTTATGGGGAAAGGCAACATATTGTTATTTTCTCATGGGTGTTAAGGACTTGCTGAGCTGAGGACAGGTTTTCGTAAGCGCTCTATACTAAATTATGTGAACATGATCTTTACAAAACTAGAAGAACGGTAGTTTAGAAGATTAGAGTGGAACTCTGGAAGAGAAAACACACCCATCCACCTGCTGCTCTGATCCGCTTCACCTCTTCAAGAGACGCTTTCTTGTTCCCGTACGGTCGGTGGAAGTTGGTCACAGCTTGAGGCCTCCCACCGCGTGATACGACCTGCTAATCAACATTCAAGACCCACCCTCATCATCAGCAGAATAAAACTCACAATTCACTTCAGCATCACAATCACGATGCACTAGCCAATGACAACGGGATATATGATAAATTGATAATTGATTAATATATACGCATGTTATTATGTGTAGGGAATTGTTAGTACCAAGCAGGAGTCGCCAATGTGCGAGACAACAAGGACATCGTTCCTGAGGAACATGGCCGTGGCCGTGGCGCCGGACTCATCTTCCTTGTCCATCTGCTCGAGCCTGTGAAGAAGAAGCAGGCGTCACGTCACACAGCGTTAAACATGCGAGGAATTAGGCTGTGTTTAGATCCAGGGTGTAAAGTTTTGACGTGTCACATCGGATATATGGACATACATTTGAAGTATTAAATGTAGACTAATAACAAAACAAATTACATAATCTATATGTAAACTGCGAGACAAATTTATTAAGCCTAATTAATCCGTCATTATCAAATGTTTACTGTAGCACCATATTGTCAGATCATGGAGCAATTAGACTTAAAAGATTCGTCTCACAATTTACCCGCCATCTATGTAATTAGTTATTTTTTCGTTTATATTTAATAGTCCATGCATGTGTCCAAATATTCAATGTAACAGGGTGAAAAATTTTGCCGGAGTTCTAAACAGGGCCTTAGTAGCTAATCTAAGCAGAAGGCAATCGGAATTGTTCAGCGGAATCCTAACTGGGCCTGACCAGGTGGAGAGGTTGGCGTCGACGGTGGCGAAGGCGCGCTGGATCGAGTCGGTGATGGCGTCGAGGTTCTTGGTGCTCAGCACCGCGCCGCCGTCCAACGCCGCCGCGCATTCCTTGTACAGCTCGTCCCTGCATGTCAGCGCCAAGGAGAGAGGTTAGCGCGGAAAGCGGCCATGACGAAGAGCAGGAGGAGAATCAGGGAGGGGGGTGCCTGAGGAACTCGACGGCGGAGAATCCGGCGTGGCCGTCGAAGACGGCGGCGAAGGAGAAGCCGTCGAGGAGGGAGCCGGGGCGGAGGACGACCTCGTCCTCCATCTCGTCGCGCGCGCCCTGCAGCTTGGCGGTCCCCCACCGGATGGCCTCCAGCTCCGACGACGACGACGCCACGCTGCCGGCCGCCGACGCGTGGCACCACGCCGCCGACCCGGCCCTGCCGCCGCTGACGCAGCACCGGAGCCCCGCTCCAGCGGCGGAGGCGGAGGCGAGCGGCAGCCGCGGCACACGCGGGCTCAGCAGCGCCATGATATTTTCTCTCTGTATGTGTGTGTGTTTTTTTCCCTTCTTCTTCTCGGGAATTTTGATTTTTTTTCCTTTTTCTTTTTTAATTTCAGTTCGGAGAGGGATAAGAGGCGAGCGGCGCCGCGAACCGAGCTTGAGGGCTGAGGCTGAGCCTCTCCTCCTACGACGCCACGTCACTGTCGTGTGCTGCTAGTCACTCGGTAGTCGCTAGTCGCTACCCTCTCTCGGGCTTTGCTTGCCTCCTCCACTCGTCTCCGTCGTTTTGTGAGACTGTTTGCGAGTGCTAGGGTGTTGTGCTGAGTAGTAGTGAGTACCAGTACTGCCTGTAGTACATACAAGCACATGTAGTACAGATAATGCACCAAAAGTAATTTCTAAAATGTTACTCTCTCTGTTTTAATCTTCTTTTTGATAGAGAAGAGAAAAAAAAGACAAAAGATAGTGGTTGTAATGGATTCAAGAATCTTATGCGGTAGAACGAACTCTTCTATTATCTTGAATTTTCTTTGACGACCGGGTAACACCTGTTTGATCCATCCTACTATAGCGATTCGAGAAGAACAATTAGGGTCATATTCGTTCCTTACTACAACGCCAATAGACAAAATGCTTCATTTAAGGTTTTGACCTTTTTACTACTCAATTTTTTTAACTTTATGAAAAAAATGTAGCAATGTTTCCAAAACAAAACATTCATATTATCAAAATATATTCAATGTTGTATTTAATAAAATAAATTTGGTGTTTTATATATTACTAACTTTTTCTATAAAATTGATCAAATCTGAAGAAGTTTGACTTAAAAAAAAGTCAAAACTACTTATGATATCAAAACAATATATTTTGACTAGTTCCATATATGTAGAACTTATTTATCCGACCATATCCTTCCAGTCCCTCTTACCATATCCTTCTGCCTCAAAATAATTTTCAAAGACAAGTACATTTCTGTATGACCTCTAAAATTCCATGGAATGATCGTAAGTGCACTTGCCTTCACTTCCTCCGATCTTTTGATTCAACTGATTCTTGATGTGATGTTGATCATTCATTTTTATTTAAAAATTTAATATAAATATATAGAAATATAAGTCATTCTTAGGAAAATACAAGTCAACCAAATAAATAGTACTTACATAGTTTTCTTTGAATAAAAAAATGATTGGTCTTATCTATAATCAATTGCATCAAATATTTATCACTAGAGGGAGTACATCTTTAGCATCGGCCAATAACTACAGTGGCAAATTGTCACTCTTATAAAAAGATGATAGTATGATTAGATATACATTTATATTTGCTGTAAAATCTTTTGCTATGTTGGTTTTCATTAGGAAAACTAGTTGGGTGGCCCGCGCAATTGCGCGGCTAGCACCCAAACAAAATTATATATCTTTTAGTATGATTTTACTTTAAATTTATTAAATAGCTATCTCATTGTCTTAAAATTTTGAAAGACCAAACCTTATCATCCCCGTGTTTCTAATTATATAGTTTCTAAAAGTCACACCAGTTGCTACCCCTTTTGTCATCTCCTCCTTTATTTGCTTGCACGATCTATCACTATTTCTATTCATTCTCCTTGGAATCTTTAAAATTTTGATCTTATAGTTTGTAGAGTTTATTGTCACGTTGGGTTTCGTTTTTATAATTTCTAGATGTCCCATAAAACGTTGCCATTATACTCCTCTATGGCCTGTCCACTATCTACGGCCTGTCCACTGTCTCTTTATTATCATTGACATTTAAAAAATCGAACATAATTATCATTTGGGTTCATTTTTACTTTTTAGAAGTCCCGCCAAACCGTCAGTGGCTTTGACATTGTACTGCTCTACGGCTCGCCCGCTGCCTTCCTTCTTTATTGTCATTGAGATTTTAAAATCGAACATGATTATCATTGTTTTTTTTTACTTTTTAGAAGTTCCGAACCTTTAAAAAATGGACCTTATAGTTTATAGAGTTTATTGTCTTGTTGGGTTTCATTTTTTATAATTTTTAGAAGTCCCGTAAAACGATGCCACTATGCTCCTCTACGGCCCGTCCGCCGCCTACTCTTTATTGTCATTGTGATTCTAGAAATCGAATATAACTATCGTTGGAATTTATTTTTTATTTTCTAAAAGTCTCCTCAACCGTTGGCGGCTCTGCAACTATACTCTTATACACTCCGCTCGCTGCTTCTCCTTTTTATAGGCATTGATATTTTAAAAATCGAATATGATAATCAATGGGTTTTTTTTACTTTTTAGAAATCCTGGCAACCGCCTTGCTCGTTTGCTTCACGGCCTGCCAGTCGTCCCTCCTCTTTTTAATCGTCATTAGGATCTATTTGGTGTTTTATTAACAATTTTTATATGACATATCAACCGCCACCACTCTACTCTTTTATAGGCATGTTACTTAATTTATCTCGTCATGTGTTTTAGATAGTCTTTTCTTTCAATAGTCTTTATTTTTATCCCAAATTTTAGATATTTATAAATTGTATTCCTAATTGAAATCTTATTTTTATTTTCTTAATTTCAGAATTTATTTTTTTTCAAATTTTAATTAATATCGTATTGTGTTCTTTTAATTTTTTTATTTTTAATTTCAGTTGTTTCAAAATTGTATTCCTACTTGAACTCTCTTTTAATTTTTCTAATTTTGGATATTATTTTATTTTTTTCTTCTGAATTTTAATTAATCTTGTATTGGGTTTTTATATGGATTCTTCTTTCAATATTGCTTATTTTTAATTCCGAATTTCAGCTAATTTTAAATTGTATTCCTACTTGAACTCTTCTTTTATTTTTTTCTAATTTCAGATTTTATTTTTATTTTTATTCCCAATTTTAATTAATCTCGTATTGGGTTCTTATATGGACTCTTCTTTTAATATTCCTTATTTTTAATTCCGAATTTCAGCTATTTTTAAATTGTATTCCTACTTGGACTCTCCTTTACTTTTCTAATTTTGGATTTTATTTTATTTTTATTTCGAATTTTGATTAATCTCGTATTGGGTTCTTATATGGAACCTTTTTTTAATATTTTTTATTTTTAATTTCAAATTTCAGCTATTTTTAGATTGTATTTCTACTTGGATTCTCCTTTTTTTTCTAATTTTGGATTTTATTTTATTTTTATTTCAAATTTTGATTAATCTCGTATTGGGTTCTTATATAGAACCTTCTTTCAATATTGCTTATTTAATTCCAAATTTCAGCTATTTTTAGATTGTATTTTTACTTGGACTCTCCTTTTCTTTTTTTTTCTTTTTCTCCGATTAATGTGGGAATTTCTAGCCCCCAGAGCGAACGTGGTGCTTCTTTTCAAAGCTGTTTTAATAATATAATAGATAGATAGTGGCAGCCTATCAGGTGGCATGGCATTTCATGTGGCAGAAGATTGCAAAAGTCGATTTGGTTGTCAATTGAACCTAAACATTTAGATAAGACTAAATAAAAAAAATGACAGGACCAATTGAGAGTACTTTATTGTAGTATGTAATATATTGCGTACCCACGCACTAAAGAACCTTGACATCAACATTCGTTCGAAGTGGTGAGAGTAGGTTGGCAATAAGCACCACCCCCTTCGTCACCAATACGCCAAGTAACTGATTCAACCTTCACTCGTGCTCCTATCATTGTGCTCGGGCAGTTGGCTTGATCTTCACTAGAGCTAGGATGCAAAGGGTTTCGGTCTAAGGTGAGGGACTATGATGGCGTCAAGATGCTGAGAGGCTTGATCTGAGACGATGGAATTGTGGTAAGTCAATGCTGGCGTAACGAAGCAAATAGCGAACTAGCTCTCGTCGATTCAGCAATAAAGGGGCTCGATGCAGTTTGGTAAGACGAAAGGACTACATTAAAGTTAGCATTGTTGTGACGGAGTAGATGGCGGGATGGCTTTCGGTCAATTCACAATGAAGGTGCAGAGACGAGTTGCTTTGAGTAGCAACTCTAGCATTGGTAGATATCCCTACCACCTTGCCACCATGAAAACAGGCATGAGCTCGAGTCCTTCGCTATTATTGACATTTGATATCGTGCCTCCTCTAGCTTAGGAGGTCCTCACCATTACTGCTGCAGGAAGTCTTGTCTCAATGGTCGTCTTTGCTAATATGCATTGCTCCGATCCAAGGTGTCTTTGGCATGGTTTATCTCTCACCGAATTGATGGTGTTATGAACGAAGTGGCATGGATAAAATTTGGTATCCCGGTGGCAAATTAAAAAAAATACTCCCTCCGTTTCAGGTTATAAGATGTTTTGACTTTGGTCAAAGTCAAACTTGCTTCAAATTTGACTAAGTTTATAGATAAATATAGTAATATTTACATTACCAATTAGTTTTATTAAATTAATAATTAAATATTTTTATAATAAATTTATCTTTTTTCAAAAATATTAATATTTTTTTCTATAAACTTGGTCAAATTTGAAACAGTTTGACTTTAATTAAAGTCAAAACATATTATAATGTGAAACGAAGGGAGTATGATTTAAGTGGTAAATATCAAAAGATGAATGAATTAGACGGCAAATTCTAATAGTATTGCAAACTGAGTTCTAATCATATCAAATCTTTAGTTTTCGTGACCCACTACCAACAGTGTTGCGATTCATCTCAGGCCAGAGAAATGCTGCTACAGTACTACAGTCCCTCGCCATGCATGTGCCGTCAGATGTCCAGCTGGTGATTCCATCCAGCCGTCCACACGGTCATCGCTCCATCCCTCCATCCCCTCCGTCCTCGCTATATTTAGTCCACGCAATCACCACACCAGCCACCGCCTAGACATCCTCGCTGCCTCCCTGCCAAAAATCCCCAAATCCTCCTCTTCTCGCCGCCGCCGCCGCGCTGTCTTCCTCCCGCCACGCCGCAGCGCCGCCTTCCTCCCGCGACGCCCGGCCGGCGCCGTCTTCGTCCCGCGGCACCCGGTCGGCGCCGCGGCGCCCGGACGGCGCCGCGGCGCCCGGACGGCGCCGTCTTCGTCCCGCGGGTCCCGGCCGTCGCCGCCGCGCCGTCTTCCTCACGCGGCGCCCGGCCGTCGCCGCCACGCCGTCTCCCTCCGCGACGCCCGACCGTCGCCGCCGGCACCGCCTTTTGCGGATTCATTCCTTTGGCCCGTCGCTGCCGGAGCTCGGTGACTGTGGCGGCTACGAAGCACGGCGCCACCACCACTATCCCGATCTGCCTCTCTGTCCCCTTACCCAAGTTCTCAAGTTAATTCGTGAAATGATAACAAAGAATATAGCTCTTGATTCAAAAATCATTTCGACTATTGCCACTTCTTTGGTTGCAAGCAATGAAGGCAAAGCATTGTTGCAGGTCTTGCCTGATTTCAGTGCAGAAATATCGAAAAGCGACATCAATTCACCCCCGGAGTTATTGAAAATGTTGCATAATGTGTGTCCCCAAACAACTTGAACCTGGCGTTGCTTTGTGAGTCTCATTCAGGAGCTTTGCTTGCAGGTAGCACTCAGTTCATATCTGAGATCTAATACATGTTCCTTTGTTCATGGTCGGCCTATAATTTGTGCTCTCCATTCCCAAGGCATACTCTATATCACGCGAATGTCTATGAAGTGTTCTACAGCAAACTCTTAATCTCACATAGAACGATCAGTTTATACTCTATTACTTTTTTTTTGGTTGTTAGCTGTAGAAAATGAATCACATTACCTATTTAAAATTTTTAGCCATTGGACCACTTATATATACATTTCTTTACAGCTATTTGCATTATGGGTTACTGCATGCTAGACCAGAGGTCTTAAAAGCCAGCAATGGCAGAGGTTACAGCTGCTGTACATTGGGGGGACATCAAGGTATTGGCACCATACTTGCTTCTTTCATGTTTTGCTGCTAAAATAGCTCCCTACCATGGCCAGCCTATTCGTAAATATTCAATCAATTTTATCATTGTCTTATTGTCTTATGCTCTATTTCGTCGGCTATGAGAGTATATTTACTGCCGCTTAATTTATCAATCTGTTAGTGCTTCTAGCCAAATATTGCATATGTATATACTTTCCTTTAGATATATTGTATCCTGTGTATATGTGTACTAAAGCTATATTGCATTGGATTATTATTGTTTCAGCAAGGCCTTGTCACTCTTCATTGAGCTTTCACACGATGTCATGCTCTTCTGGGCCATCGACAACTACATCACAGCATAAACGAAAGGAGCCTTTGCCGGACTCTCCAGCTTCAGGTTAGTGTGCTAGCTATAAGCTGCAGACAATATATTCATATATGTTTTCCACAGGTCCCATTCTGTTTGTGTTTACATGTTCAGTCCTATCTCCACTAAGGTTTGTCAAATTCACTTTCTTCCTGCTGTATTGTATCGCCTACAAACTATTTTTCATATAATCTTGCCATACGCTTAATTACATGCATATTCTACGTCCTTGCCTCACATAAGCAACTTTGTTTTGGTACATATGGCCCCGTGCCTCTATGAGCAGCTCAGTTTATTACTAGAGCAAATATGTGCAGTGTGATTTTCCTTTTTCTTAAATACCTAGATTCATATGCCCATCATGCTATATCAACATTTCTAGCGTACACAACAACACACTGCATATTTCATTTCATTTATTTTTCTCACAAAAATGCTCTTGCTTCACATGGGAGGCTTCATTTGCTAATTCTTCTCCTTTTATTCATACTTCAGGTTCAAGGCTTGTAGGTTCCAGCTGCATGGCAATTGCTCTTTGGTGTTCCTCTACCTGTTATTTCCTGGTATTATTTCAGTTATTTTAGTAGTTCCTTGGGAATTCTTATTTGTTGTCTAATCTTTATCTCCGTATACATGATCATCATTTAATTGTACTGGTAAACATCATTCCCTACTCTATTTTTTATTGCACCAAGTAGTATGCATAAACTGTTATTCAGTTATCTATGTATATATATATATTTGGCAGTTTCTCACTAGCCATTTTCGTTCTCTGGGATTGCAAAGAGCACAATAAGAGGCAAGCATTGAACCTTAACTAACAGGATAACCAAATATTGTGATAGCATTTTAATGGTTTGTTCCATATTTTGTAAATCATGGATTTATGGTTTGATACACGTTTTCATTGATTCTTCTACGACCACCAGCCAGGTAATTTCAAGCTATTATATATATACTGATGCTACATATTACTCAACATGATTTACAAAATTAGAAACTGTTTCATTCCGTTGAAAATATATTTTTAACAGTTACGTGGGATATGCATGGTGTTCATTATTTTATATATCATGTACTAAGAACATATTGATGCTCTTCATCAAGGTTAAAAGGTGGATCTACTTCCCTTTTTCTTTTATTGGTGGCTAAAGTAGATTGATGCTAATTATTGACAAGCTGGCAAGAATATTGAACTCTCATATCTGCAGAACTGGCTACAAATTCATAGGTTCTGGATCATGGAGAAGTAAACCTTGATTTCTATTTGTTTTTTTTTCATGGCCGTCTTAGTATAGATTGTAAAATATGTACAATATAAGTTGCAATTACTACCTGTGATGTGCTGACACAGTTTTGATTGACTATCCTTCTAATTAATCATCGCCCCATTGGTCTTCCTGGGTACAGCTAGGTATTGAAATACAAATGTTGTTTATTTTACTCACGTTGTTGTAATTGTACTATGCACCGAGATACCCATTGTTAGTGTAACATTGATTATAAAAAAATTATGGTACGATTACATCAATCAAAATTCAGAACATCGTGATATTCTATCGTGATATTCTTTTTCTGATCGAGTTGTTGTTGTATAGCACTGTTGCAAGCTATGTTGTTTTCAATCATGCTTTTTTTTTTCTTTTATGATTAAAGATCTTGGATGATGCCCGCGCATCGCGCGGGGGGGCACGGCTAGTAGTATTGCAAACTGAGCGGACGTAACGAAATTTCTCCTATCACGGGGCACATCCATGATAGCCTATATCGGTTACATTGACAAACGCTCGGAAGGCCGGAGGGCCCGTTTGGTTGGGGGGAGTTTTTAGAAGGAATTGGGAGTTTAGAGGGATGAGGCTATTAACTGTTTTGTTTGGTTGGAAGACATGTGAATTTTGGTGGGATGGGGATGGGGAATTGAGGAATGAAATCTCTCCTTTTCAATACCTGGGTAGGGGTGTGGTAATTTGGAGGGAATTCCTCCTTTACTTCGCCTAAACAAATCTTAGCCATCCGTTTTCATTAATGATCTAATCTCCAACTTAACTCCCTATTAATTTCTACCACCTCTACCAAATAAGAGACTGAGATGAAAAATCAAATTCCCATCTTAATCTCACCATCAATTACCTCGTATAAACTCCCAATCCCCTCCCCTCAAGTTGCCAAACAAGCTGGAAAGGGTATAAAACTATAACGGGCCCTTTCTTGTTTTTCTAGTGGGGACAAGGATAACGGCCCAAGTAAATCCAATCTGAAGAGAAAGCATCGAACGGGCCAGGAAAAGGCCCATACCTAGGCCCACACAACCGCGTCCCCTACCGGTGCCGTCGCCGGCTGCCCAAACGATCGGCCGCGGTGAGGATCCAACCGCCGCATCTGATCCCCGCCGCCGGCCGCCGCGATGGGGGAGCCGGACGAGCTGCCGCCGCTGCCGCTCGCCCTCCACCCGCCGCATCTCATCCCGCCGGCGCCCGCCGCCGACCCCCGCGCCCTCTCCTTCCTCCCCGACCTCGGCGGCCTCCCCTGGGTCGCCTACGGCGCCGCCTCCTTCCTCGTCGTCTCCCACCTCCCCTCCCCTCCCCGCGAGGGAAGCAGCAGCAGCGGCGGCGGCGGCGGCGGCGACGACGATGGCCCGTTCTTCCGCCAGGCCATCGACCTCCGTGCCCCCGTGTCCGCCGTCTCCTGGTGCCGACGTGGCGGGGGCGAGCTCGCCGCCGCCGCCGGGAGCTCCGTGTCCGTGTTCCAGCCGGCGCCGTCCTCTTCCCCAGGTCCGTTCGTCCTAGCTCGCCTCTGATTCTCGTCCTCTCGTTGTTTTTGCTAGCATTGCTTAGCTTCTGGAGATTGGACTTGGGTTTGCAGGATCGTTTGGCTGGGTGCTGAGATGGGCTATCACCGAGACCTTCGCCGTCGCCGCCGTGGCCTGGACGGGCTCCGGCGACGGCATTCTGTTGGCCGGCGAGGGCGTTGCCATGTGGGCTAGGGCAGAATCCTCCTGGAAGCTCGCGTGGAGGTGCTCGCCTCAGGTGGCTCAGTCCCTTGCCTCCGCTACACACTTCCTCCAGGGTCCCGTCGCGACAGCGGCGGCTACTCCTTCTTCCGAGGGCGGCGTGCCTCCTGTTCTGGTGATTGTGAATGATGCCAAGGTGGGTGTGGAGAAAGTCGAGCTTGCGCACCCTAAACCAGTATCCATGATCCAGTGGAGACCTAGGTCGTTGTTTGTCAGTGATCAGTCTGAAGTGAGGCGAGAGATACTCATGACGTGCTGCTTGGACGGGACTCTCCGGCTGTGGAGCGAGGATGAGGCAGCCAAGTCAAAGAAGCATCGGGTTTTGCAAAGGTCCTTCAGTGTCATTGCGGTAATTGAGATGAGCAACACTCTGAATGGAGTGCTGGGAGTTGATATAACTGTGAAATGGGCAATTGAAACTGGCAGTGTTGTATCGAGAGATGAAGATGACAATTTCACATTGTTTTCAGGTGACCCTGGGCACAACCAGGTAGGCAAATGCGAGTGGTTGGTAAGTGCTGGCCCTGGGGCTTCTGTAAACTTTTGGGCTGTCCATTGTATCGATGATGTATCTCCACCAAGGTATCCACGGATTACTCTATGGAAACAAGTCAAACTGCAGAGTTGGACGCAGTCTGCTTCAGGACAACAAAAATCCATAGATGACTCGTTTTTTGTTGAGGCTGTTATATCAAGAGGGCTATCTTCTGGCCCACCTACAACATGTTCTTTGCTTCATTTGCTGCATGATAATTCATTTATTTGGTCTCGCTTATCCTCCAATTTATCATTGAATTCTGGGGGGCATGCTTTGAGTGATTCTGCTAAAAGTTTGTCATGCTATTCATCCCAAACTATCAATCAACATGGGCATAACGGTAGCATCAAACAGGTGTCTGTCCATCCATACAGCTGTGAAATAGAGCTAGCTGTTTCCATGGATTCTAGCAGAACTCTACATTTCTGGTCTCTTTCAACCTTATCAACTCTCATATCAACTTTGCATGCACCTACTTATCCATTATGGAAGCTTTTGTGCAAATTTGATCTGTGTGACATTCAGGCAGATGTGGAATACTCATGTCTGTGTTGGGCTCCTTCTGTTATTCAACAAAATAGGTTTCTTGTCCTTGGAAGTGAAAAAGGAGCCGATTGTTTTGTAGTCAGTATTCAGAACGAAGGGGATGTTCTTTCATGTCAGAAAATGTTCACAATTCCTTTCTTTGAAGGTAGTAATGCAGAAGGCCCACCTGACAGCATTCATACCATACCTTTAACTTCTAATTGTGATGGTCCTTTTGTCAACAACAGCTTTGTAGTTGTATGTCTATGGAGGACGAGTTTTCAAGCATTATCATGGAAAGTTGTCCTACATCTAGAAAATCAAAACAAATGTGGGATGTGTTTGTGTGGTTTTTCTGCTAGCTCTCTTTCTACTGCAGATCAAGGGAGACATGGAACTTACCTTAATGCTGATATGTTTTCAGCAGTTATTTGTAAAGGTTCTTCAGTCTTCCCTACATGCCTGGATGGAGAATATCCTACATGTGTTTCTGCAACGCCACTGAACAATACTGTATTATCTCTACAGCAGCATGGTTCAGGAACTGCTTCATGTTATCACATTGCTACTGGGTATTCTGATGGCACTGTGAAACTGTGGAAGATGTCTTTTGCAGATAACCCTTTGCATACTGAGAAAGAGAGCCACATCTGGCAACTAGTAGGCACGTTTGGTGCCGATCGAGGACCAATTACTGCAATTTCACTGTCCAATTGTGGTAGAATTGCTACTGTTGGTAGAAATGTTCAGAAGAATACCACCTCCATTCATATCTGGAAAGCAGTAAAACTCATGGGAGATGGGAGTTTTCTCCTGGAGGATGCACTAACGCTTCAAGGTTCTGTTGTTGGTTTGGATTGGCTATCTTTAGGCGATGGGAGATTTTTACTTGCAGTCTACCTTCTCAATGAGTTGCACATATATTCTCATAAGCACCCTTCCTTTAAGAATGTATTACACACTGTGAATTCAAAAGAGAAGCATCTTTGGAGCTGTATTGCACTATCCCATTCTCCACATGACATTGCTAGCTTCCTTTGGGGGCCAAAGGCAACTGGTGTGCTTGTTCATAAGAATCATCTTGCACTCTTCAGTTCATGGTTAGTAAGAAGAGCCAATGAATCTAGTACCCAGATATGTGATTGTCCAGCTGCAGACATACATGAATTGCCTTGTACTAAGCATTTTAATGAAGATATCTTTGGTAGATTCAGTTTATCAGAAAATTACAGCAACACAATGTTACTACAGAAACACAGTGCTCACTGTTCTAATGATCTATGGAACTTGTTGGATATAGCTGCCAAAATGAGTGGACCTCTGGCATCATATCACCCGAGAGCACTTATTCAGTCTCTTTATTCAGGTGTCCACTATTTTAGATTCTCAAAATATTTTTTCTCTAGATTCTACATGTTTTGCAAGGCCTCGCTAGTCTGTTTGTTTATAAGCTTCTATTTTAATCTACATGTGATACTGAGAAAGTGAAACAACACTACATGTTTTTGTGCACCTTTCATCGCTAACAGTAGCCGATTGTTTTTGTGCTGACATAGCCGATTGTTTGAGATATGGGCCATTTAATGTTCTGTTCTATCATGTGGAGTCTAGTTTGTCAAGATAATTGTTATCATTTATTATAAAATATTCCTGTCATGTCTCATAAATAAAGCCTGCACACAAATAGATTGCCCAGGAATGATAAAGTAAAACTACAGATATAAAAGCCTCCGCGGTACTAAGCAAATCCCGACTGCATCACTTGGATTAGGGTGTTTGGATTTAGGGATAAAACTAGAAGGTATGAGTAGGGATTTGGATATGGAGATATTATTGGAAAAATATTTAGATCAAATAATCTGGAACTTGCCGTTTCCTATCAGTTATCTTTTAGTTTCATCCATCGAGAAATATACTGTAACAACACTACTAAATTTTGTGCAACATGATAAAATGGTGCCATTAACAACCCTACTAAAGTTTGTGTAATATGATCTTTTGAGTAAATTTCTGTTTTGACATATTGTGGCTTTCAATATTTTCTGAAATCTTTGGTATAAATGCTAATTATTTCTAGCTGAAATTAATTCTGGCCTTTTATATTAGCGGTGTGGGTCAAGTTGAAAGGATAGAATATAATAACGCTTTGGCAAAATGTTATGTTGCTCTTTGGTTTGATATGCCTTCTTCAAATTGACAAAATCCATGATGATTTAATCTGTACCTGGCAACCTATTGGATTTTATCTTTATGACCCCCCTGTACAAGTCCAAGATCATGATTGACAAAATCCACAGCATATTGTGTAAATCAGGTAATGATATTAACTCTTTTTATTGCTCTGCGTAGGTCAATGGAAACGGGCAAACACTGTTCTGCAGCATCTTGTTCAATCCATGCAAGCAAATAAAATATCAAACACCTTGTTGGAGTGCAGTTTCTGTGGTAAATCATGCCATAATATTCCTGAATGCCCTTTATCTGAAAGCTTCACCGATATGACATCTAATGACATATCTAATAGAGGGTTACTTTGGGGTGACAATCAACGTAGCACAGCCTTTAGTTTGCTATCACCATCAAATTCATATCCTCGGATGGAGGATATCAACACCACCACTAGCACATCTCAAAGTTCAGAAATAAATAAGCTCCTTGCTACGAATGTTAGCATATCAACAATAAGTGACATGGAGAGAACCCAGATAGTTGCACTTTCTGATCTTTTGGGTAAAATTACTGATCAGAGCCATGCATCTCCCTATAAAAGCCTTGATGAAGCAGGGAGAAGGTAAAAGTAACTCCTAGATTAACATATGTAACTGTTTTTTTTTTCAGTGACATATTGCTATATATATATTTTGTTTTACTAGAATCCAGGGGCTTGTAAGTGTTGTACAAGTTTATGCTACTCATTTTTGTATGGTATCTACATTAATTTTTAATTTTGTTTCTCTTAAGGTTCTGGGTTGCTGTGCAGTTCGAACGCCTATATGCACTTAGGAGATCTGAAGATCCATCCAGTGCCGAAGTCTTCCATGTTGATTCTGCTTCTATCGCGTGGGCCTTACAGTCTGATTGTCAGGATGATCTACTTAATTCTGTTCTTCCTGCAGAACCAAGTTGGTCTGAGATGCGAAACCTTGGTATGGGGTTATGGTACACCAACGTGTCCCAGTTAAGAACCAAGGTATGTCTCAACAACAATTTATGTTCTCATAGGTTTTGCTAAAAGCAAATGGTCGAAACAGTGATAAGTGTTTGTATGTGTGAGAGCAAGACTCTCTTGTTGACTAATAAAATCCTCATAGGTCATTGAAAGTTTATGAACTATGCTATATCTCAATTACTGAAATTTCTATTTACAATTTGGTCTGTAGCACTATAGCATTTGAATTAATGTAGATCCTTGTTTGGACCACTTATCCTACATTGAATGATTCCCTCGACGTGATTGAAGTATTATGTTACAGTTATTCTTGAGATGCCATCATATTGAACTTAGCTTTTCTCAACTGCTGAACTATTTGTCATTGTTTTAGTCCAGTGTCCAGATTCTAGGAATTAAATTCAAATGAATCTTCTAATGTTCTCTCTCTGCCCTATATCTGGACATTGTAATGAATATTGTTCACATTTGCAGTTGTCTGGATAATCACCTGTGCTGATTAGGTATGTCTGACATTGTAGATGGAGAAGTTGGCAAGGCTGCAATATCTTAAAAGCAAGGACCCAAAGGACTGTGCTCTTCTCTATATAGCATTAAATAGAACAAAAGTATTAGTTGGCCTATTCAAGATTAGCAGAGATGAAAAGGATAAACGTCTCTATGAGTTTCTCTCCAGGAACTTCCAGGTATCTTGGTGTGGTAGAGACTAGTAATTGGATAGTTTGACATCTTTAACTATGCGCTTATGCTTAACATTCTTATCTACATGGTTGTGTCATTATGATTGTAAATGTGAACTAACTTATACTTGCTAGTTTTGGCATTGCAAATGAGCATTCTGCTAGAAACAAGATAGTTTTATCAGTATACTTGGACTGTATCTTTGTTAAGCAAAATGCACACGAAACATGAGAGGAATTTCAGATACATAATGTTGAGAAGTATATTCTACATCATACTTATTGGGATAAATCTTATCTATCTAGGAAGAAAAACACAAATCTGCTGCTCTGAAAAATGCATATGTGCTAATGGGAAGGCATCAATGGGAGCTTGCTATAGCATTTTTCCTCCTTGGAGGTGATACATCCTCAGCCATCAGTGTTTGTGCAAAGAACCTTCAAGATGAACAACTTGCTATTGTAATTTGTCGACTTCTTGAGGGATCTGGAGGGCCCTTGGAGCGTAATCTCATTGCTAATGTACTGCTCCCTGAAGCAGTTGATAAAGGAGACCACTGGCTTTCAAGCCTACTTGAAGTATGTCATTATGTCTGCCTTCTTCTTTAATGTTCTTCATTTTGAACTATCATTCAGCTTTTCAACTAAAGTTCATGTAAATTTTCAGTGGATGTTAGGGAACTACTCTCAGTCTGTGAATCAATTACTTGATTGCCACCTCAAGTCACTGATTGAAGAATCCAGCATTCCCGGTGATACAAATGTCTTTGCAGACCCTGGAGTGGGTCAGTATTGTGCAATCATTGCGACAAAAAGTAGTTTCAGAAACTGTGTTGGTGAAGCTCAATCTGCAAATTTATCTAAGCTTTCATTAGCAATGGCTTCATGCGCCTTGAACAGATGTGGACTGCCTGTAAGTATTCTTATCACATGAATGATTCTTGCTTGGGTAAAGGGTGCCCTGTTGACATCTCAATGTTATATATTCTATTTTGTATTGTTCTAAATCTTGTTTCTTTCTCACTGATTAGCTTGAAGCACTTGAATACCTATGTTGTAACTCGGGCATAGAGGGAAAGGACAACACCTCACTGGATGGCGGAGACAAGAAGATTGTTTATGGAATATTGAACCCTTTCCATGCTTCGTCCAACTGGCTCTCAGCATCTGTAGTCAGTGATGTTGAATCAAACCTGAAAATAACTATGGCTTCAAAATATCTGTCGCGCGTGCTGAGAAATCAGTCACTCTGTTCACGGTGCAGCCTACCACTAACTAAAGATAAGGTCCTGCAAGAATTCAACAGTAATCACGTGAATGAACTTTCACGTGATGTCAAGGCAGCGCTACAAGTATTCGATAAAAAATTCTCACTTCAAGTTGCTGATATAGCTGAGAAGGTAACATAAGGGATACCATATTCTTTTATTTTTGTTCTTTTTGTTGGACTTCTCATAACAAACCATATTATCTGTTGTGTATCCAGATCCTTACCTTTTGTTGCAACGATGGTATATTTTTTCTCGCGTACGTGTTGTTATGGGGTAGTATATCATCAGATGTTGGAACCGGTACTTGTGGTCTTGAAGGTTGTGCTTTCCATCCAATTGATTATATGTTTATGGTGTCAAGTAAGGAGAGCTGCAAGTTTCTTACACAATATGTTGTCTCCTGCTGCTTCATATGTTCTGCTCTGAACATGGACTGCGCTAATACTACTCCATGCACAATTAAAGTGGGCAAGTACATTATGGCAAGTTTATCACACTTCCTGAGTACTAGCAGGTTACTTCTGAAACAAGACAATACTAGAACTTTTGTGTTAGGTCGTACATCAGCTATGCTTACAGTTATGGACCTCCTTGAATACAACATGGAGTTTTCCTTTTCTTGGTTATGTCATGACATAAAAGCATTGCTTACCATGACCAGTCCAGTTATAGGTGCTTGTGTCAACAGAGAGTCCTTTCAAGTACTATTAGATCAGTTGCTGCAAGCTGTACATGATAAAATTCATGGTGTATCAATTGGCACAGATGGGGGCACAGTCAATGGTTTGTTGTGTAATATACAACAAGAAAGAAGTGAGAATCAGAGTCTTCCAATTGATGAAAAATGGCATTTGATAGGTATTTCTTTGTGGACTCGATTGTCATCTTTCATGAAACAGTTTTTGACTGAGTTCGTTGAAAAAGAGAGAATTGAACTTGAAACTAGTGCAAGTGATGTGGAATTCAAGGACCTCATATCTTCAGTTGTTGCAAAGTTTTTGATGGGCTCCCTCCATTTTGTGTCATCTTTGTTAGTAAAATTGCATGCTTCATTTTTCAGAGAGAAAGTACTGAAGAAGTCAAATTCAAGTGTGCTTTTCTGGTTATCTCAGCCAAGGTCCAACAACAATAGCCATGAGCAGTTCTCAAGTATTTTTCAGCTTGCTAACAGTGAGAACATCGAAGTCTTTTTTGATACTTTGTGGGAAATATCTGCTCATCCTGTGGATATCTGCACTGCTTTTGTGGATGAAGAAATGAATTGCTTTCCTTTAAACAGCATTAGTTTAACACGATCCTGGAAGGCTATGACAGAAGCTACATTAGTTGAGTCTGAAAATAATTTTGCTCAAAGAAGTGAAGAAAATCGTGACAATTTAAGTTCCAAGAACAACGAGAAAATACAGAGATCAATTGACAATACCCCTTATGGTGTGGAAGTCACTCTTGAACCTAAAAGGAAAGGTTTAATTGCAGATTTTGAAAGACCCAGAGAACTTGTAAGGAGAAATGGTGAACTTCTTGAGGTATTTACCATCAGCATATTGACAGTATAGATGCTAATCATTTTGCTTCCCTTTCTTTTACTGCATTTTAATCCTTTGCGGTGCAGGCAATATGTCTCAACTCTATCAATGAGCAACAAGGTGCTATCGCCACCAATCGGAAGGTACTATTTTTCAATCATTCATTATTTATGCATTCTGGATTTAAATTGTTACTTATATTGACTATTTATTTGAAATTGTTTATCTAGTGGTTAGTGAATCTGTGAATTTGAGGAAATTGTTTGAGTGAACACCTTTCCTCAGTTATTTTCCTTCCTTGCATTTCCTCTTTGTTTCCCCCTTTTTTTTTGCATTTTTTCTTTCTTGTGTTTCCTTGGTCATTAACATTGAAAAATAACTATTCTATTTTATTAAATTTTACAACGAAAGTGTAGTTTTCAAAACTGTAGATTTACATGTTTTCAGTGTTTCTTTGAACAGGTGTAAAATTTTTAAAAATGGTTTGATATTCACCCATTTGTTAAGAGGTGAATGTGTATATCCATTCCAACAGTGAAGATGTGTTCCGTTATTTTCTTGCATTAGATTATTAGTAGTGCCAATACTAAGATATAATTGAAATGGGGCATGCTGCTTCAGCTTTTGTGGTTGAAATGAAATAACCAAAGTAGCAGGTGGTTTTTTTTATGGATGATAAATAGGACTTTATGCAAACAATGTAAAGAATTGTATTTGGTGTAACGACTTCTTTGTAACATGAGGTTAGCTGCCTAACATTAAGTCGGGGTGTATTGAGTGTTGGTTCCCTAGACACCAGAAAGATCGAAGATCTTTTAATCAGATATTTGTAAGAATTTTTGGTTACCCACATTGAATGAAGGTTATGATTGTCTTTTCTATCTCAGACAATCTACTTGCTACTCCATAAGGGGCTCTTCATTGAAGTACCATGTGGACTGTTTGTCTCCTTAAGTAACATATAATTATGCCGTGCATCAATTTTACTGTGTGGTTATCCATTTTCAGGGCCTTGTTTTCTTCAACTGGAATGACAAGCAAGATAACAAAAATTTAGCAGAGTATATATGGGCAGGATCTGATTGGCCCTTGGATGGGTGGGCTGGTTGCGAATCTACACCTACTTCAACTTCTTTTTCTCCTAGTGTTGGTCTTGGCAGAAGAAAAGGATCCCATCTTAGTTCAGGTGGACCAACTATTAGTTTAGGTTCATTGGCAAAACCTGGAAGGGACTTAACTGGTGGTGGAGCATTTGGAATTCCAGGTTATGCTGGTATCGGCGCATCTGGATTTGGGTGGGGGGAACCTGACGAATTCGAAGATTTCGTTGATCCTCCAGCAACACTCGAGAACATCCATTCAAGAGCATTGTCTCGCCACCCATCTTTGCCATTGTTGCTAGTTGGGTCAAGCAATACTCATGTTTATTTATGGGAGGTAAACTTTCCTTAAAAAAATACTCTATAAATTTGTCTACTACTTCACATTGGACTGGGTTTTACTTGTTAGCATATCTGTTTATTGTTGATGCCTTGATTTACAGAAGGAGGGCAATGAATTTCGCTGCTCCAATTTTACCCTTTATCATAGACAATCAGTGATTATAAACCTTTCCTTGTATAAATTAAAATATTGTGTGCTAAGGATCATGCAAGTAAACAGTTGACACAACTGAAGACATTAATTTAAAGGACTGGAATCTTGGTCAGCAGAACACATGGTTGATGACATGAGAAGGGCCTTGGTGAATCTATTCTTAAATTCTTTTTCCCTTCATGGAAAATAGGAAAATCGTTGGATTGCAACCATCGGTGCTTGTAATTTTCACTCTAAGCTTGACTTTACCATATTTTTTGATAGATTGATGTTTATGATGCTTGATGCGTACACATCTAGTGCAGAGTGCAGACTCTCATTTTGGTTATATGATATATCATGCTAACTATTTTGGTTGAGGAACCACAGAAACTTAAAGGAAATCTAAAAGGACAGCACCTCAATTTAATGTACCATCGCATAATTTTTTTGACCCCAAGCTCAATCTGTTCTGGAAGGGAAAAAAAAAAGAGCTGAACTTTGCTGATCTGTTAATTTTTTTTACTATTTTTTAGTTCAGTCAAAAGAGTAAATATGATACCTAGAGAGGGTTTTGCACTAGATTTGCCGCCATGTTTAATTATCCATTAATATCATCTGTTCTTTTTTACAGTTTGGCAAAGACAGTGCCATGGCTACCTATGGTGTTCTCCCTGCTGCTAATATCCCACCACCTTATGCCCTTGCTTCCATATCAGCTGTTCAATTTGATTATTATGGGCAGCGGTTTGCTACTGCTGCATTAGATGGTACAGTTTGTACATGGCAAGTTGAGGTGGGTGGAAGAAGCAATGTGCATCCTACCGAGTCATCCCTGTGCTTTAACACCCACGCATCGTACGTGAAACAAACTTTCTGAATGGAATGGTCATTGCTTGATAGAGCTCCCAACCTTACCAGTCTATTCTTATTGATCACAGGGATGTCGCATTTCTGACTGCAAGTGGATCAGTTCTTGCTGCAGCTGGATGCAGTTCAAATGGTGCAAATGTTGTTATTTGGGATACATTGGCGCCACCATCCACTTGTCAAACTTCTATTATGTGTCATGAAGGTATTCCACTGATTGATGCTTTGTTCCATTTGGAACTATAATCATGAAAACAATGCATATGGATGTTGGTTTCTAGTAGTCTAATGCAGAAATAGGAATGAGAACAAGTTCAGTTTTTAGTATCTAATCACACAGTTGTCAGTAGGATAGAGAGGATAGCTACGTCATGGGTTTGGAGAAAGAAGCAAAGGTTAATTTCTTTTCAAGTCCAATGTTACCACACAATATTTGTTGCATAAAAATTTCCACATGGTTAAAACACAAAATTTGCTAATCTAGTTTCCTCTAAAGTTTAAGCAACAACCATGCTAATGAGATAAATAGTGTGACTAAACCTTCTTGTCTTAAATTTTATTGCACATGGGGCCACGACAGCTGTAAAAGATCAACATAAGTAAATTTTTAATTTGATCATCTAATAAATAGAAGTCTTCAGCACCACCCTGCCAAGCTGACAATGTTGTCCACACTTTCAACTAAAACTAAATAACAAACACAGAAAATTCATTGACCTTGTAAGTGGTGAGCTGAGAAGGCATTAAGGATTACATTGTATGTATGCGTGTCCAAAGGGGTAGCTATATTCACTGCTATCATCCCTCCAATGCCCCTTGTGTAGAATTTAGGATATATGGCTGAGGCTGACCATGGACTTCATCTTTCAGGAGGAGTTCGTTCTCTTTCTGTGTTCGATAGAAATATAGGCTGTGGATCTATCTCACCGCTGATTGTAACTGGTGGGAAAAGTGGAGATGTAACTTTGCATGATTTTCGGTTCATCTCTACTGGAAAGACTAAGCATCACAGAAGTTCCAACGAGCATGATGTTAAGGCATCTTCAACTTCAATGCATGACACTAAGTCTGGAACTTCCAACGGTGTTAGCAACAGTGGGATGATCTGGCATATACCAAAGGCGCATACAGGTAAGTTTTGTGATATTACCATGGTACTTTTCGAGTTGGTTTTTCTACCTGATCTCTTCTGTTCTATCTGCAGGTAGTGTCAGCAGTGTATCAACCATCCCAAATACCAGTTTGTTCTTAACTGGAAGCAAAGATGGAGATGTGAAGCTTTGGGATGCCAAAAGTTCTCAGCTAGTCTTCCATTGGCAAAAGTTGCACGAGCGGCACACCTTTTTTCAACCAACTTCTAGGGGCTTTGGTGGTGTTGTTAGGGTATGCCATACTAAGTAGATCCTAATATATAATCTTGACTGATCTCATTGGGACTTTTTTATCATGTTGTGATAAGACAAGTATATGACAGTTTTATCTCGCTAATACATCTATATGTTTGATTACAGGCTGCTGTAACAGACATCCAAGTCTTACCTAATGGTTTTGTCTCGTGCGGTGGGGATGGTTCTGTGAAACTTGTGCAGGTAAAAAATGATTTTGCAGATGTACGCCCACATTAGAACAAACAGAAGGGAGGAGATATGCTAGCGATGGTTTTGTTGTGGTGGGTTCAGATTGTTCCTTTGATCAATTGATCTTATTCTGCAATTTTGTTTTCCCATGAGATGTTTTGCTGTTGCAAGGGATGGCATAGCAAGAATGTAGCCATAAAGTAAGAGCTGGGCAGAATCTGAACAGTTTAATGGGATTTGTATACAAAGGTACTCCTGTTAGCTGTCTGGATGTGGGGCATGGAACTCGCGTCTTGTATGCGGTAGGTCATGTAGGTGTCGATTTTTGTTTGTCCATGCATGTCCATTATATATACAAGGAAATGCAAAATTTTCCATAAATCTGGATAGCATTGTTTATTTGTTTACCAGGATGACAATGATTAACATGCAAGGCTGTAAACTAGCAGGGGTGACATACTATACAATCATTTTCTCTTGTGGTCTTTTCACTTGTATGAAATTGCTAAACTCTTTTGCTGATTCATGCTATAGACATATAGGCGGTGGCAACTAGACATCAGGCTGACTCTCTACATTTATGTGGATCATATTTTAAGAGAATGAATTTTATGTATAGTATCATATGATGTAACATCTTTTTTTTCTGAAGATTAATGTAACATGTAATTGGCTCGCTCAGTTATTATTTAGCTGTACCCAATGCTATTTCTCGATGACACATGTATGAGCACCTATTTTAGTTTCTTTTGTTGTTGTGGTTCTACGATCTCTATAACTTTCATGTATTTAGTTAATGTTATTATTCTGTGCCGTGTTCTGGTAATTTTGGTGGACAAGGTTAGTAATTGTACCGAGGAAGACACAGACACAGTTGATAGACATTGCTGCTTATTTGATCTGGAGCTCAGCATTGTAAACTGGAGACTGGCTGGCAGTATGCCAGTGTGCTGAATGCTAAGTATTAGGTGATCAAACAAAGCTACCAACAAAACTCTTGCAAAACTTCCAGAATTCTTGGGCTCCAGTAATCATCCTCAACAACTTATATATGCTGTTTACTATTATGCTATACAATGACAAGTTTTTCATATCAAGGACAAACTTTTTCATGGGAAGAAAACGATGTAAAAAGTATTCAGAGATTCTTGCTGTGCCATGGGATCTCTCAAAGGGACTCAGTAATCATCAAAGTAACAGGGCAAAGGCTCCTCTTTTCTGGACTTGCGCCTGCTGAGCAGCGACTTGAGAAACTTCTTGCCCTTCTTTGGAGTCTGCTCGCCTTCCTTGTCATCGTTTCTGTCAGCTTGTGACCTCACTGATGCCAATTTCTTGTGCTCTGATGTGTGCATCTTCATCAACGACAGATGAACATATTTCAGGTTTATTGACAGGGTATTCCAGTTCTTAGGTGGACTGTATTCACAAGGCCGTGTGGTTTACCTGAACTCTGACACTTGAAGTTTTCAACAAGGATGGCTTTTGTGGAAGTGATCCAGACCTTGTGAGTGGCGTGGTCCTGGGAATTGGCGATTCTGACCTCTTATCTGCTGCAGAAACGAGCATGTGCAATTAAACATGAGCAAATCTGATCAAAGATATAAGCACCATTTCCTTTGAAACAGAGGAAATTTTGCTAGAATCGGGCTAAATCCTATGAAAATGCCATAAAAGTTCCTGTGTTTCAAGGGAATCCTTTTTCTGACGGTGAGTTGCTGATTGCTTTACCTCGTTTGGTGGGTATTGTATTCTCAGAAGGTGGGCGCTGTGCTGGTGACGACGAGCGTGCACGTTGCGAAGGTGCACGGGCGATCGACCGAAGCTTGCTGCAAAATTGTCAATTTTTCAGATCACCAACTTCCAAGCTGGAGATGGACAAACGTCCAAGCTGTTGTGCATAGCAGACTGACCTGAATGAAGGTTGCTTCTCTTTGGCTTTTGCTTGGGATGCTGCTGCTGCTGCAGCGGCAAAACATTGCAGGTCAAAAGGAGATCGAGACAACTAGTACATGCTCATCATTGATAGAAGAGTTGCAATAATTCTCATGATTGCTCCCTCCGTTCCAAAATTTCCAAAATATAAGGGATTTTCCCTGTCCAGATTAATAGTATTCTAATTTTTTTTATATTTTGGAACGGAGGGAGTACAATTTAAGCTCCCTTACCGCTGAAGACCTGTTGCATCTGTGCAGCTCTGTTCTTGGCCTTCCTCATCTCGCTGAAGTTGGGCACAGCATTAGGCATTGAACCATCTCCTGCTGCGATTAATGAATAACGGGATTGAAATGTCTCACACAAATTAATTCTTGTTTACTCCCTGCCATCAGAATTTGCTGACAAGTTGGACCAAAACAAAAGGAGAGGTATACATATTTAATTACCTGGTAAGATGTACCTCTTGTGATACTTGGGAGCTGTGATCACCAATGATTGCTGTGAAAGGCCTTCCTTGTCCATGCATGCTTGGCTCACTTGGGCTCTCTTCAGGTTATTATTATTGATCATCACTTTGTTAATTCAAGAACTATACTAGATCGCAGTACTGAATTCAGGTACTATTCGTGATGAACTCTGAAAATTAGTACCTGATGGATGCAGGACACCCGGAGATTTGTGTCGTCAACCTCATCGAACCTTTGATCGATGAGGCTTGAAACCTTGAAGGATATGGATCCCAGGTGATCGACAGTGTTGACGAGCGCCTTCACGGAATACTCCTTCAGGTTGTTCATCACCCTACAAATAATATTGTTCGTACACATTTTGAGATAATTATTCTAGCAGCAGCTGGGGTTTTGCTTGATGATCTAGTGCAGAAAAAAAGAAAGAAAGAATCGGTACATCACGTACTCCTGTTTGTCATCTTCCTGCGTGTAGGCTAGTTCGAAATACTCTGCTGCAGAGTACAGCTGCGACTTCAGCATCTTGAGATCCTGAAATAAGAAGATCGCAACGTGTTGCTGGTTACCGGTGAAGACTCAAATCTCATCAAACTATGCAGTATTTTCTTTAGTTGCCTAATGTCAACGAGAAAAAGAAAAGAAACGAAATACTATACGGCCTAACTGAAAAAGAAACAGCCAAGCAATATTTGTTCTTTTTTCCCTTAATAAGCTCAACACCAAATCCAATTTGACAATATTTCATCATATTTTCATTGAGTTTGACTGTGATTAAAGCTTGAGCAATGACAAATGATTTTGCAGGCAAAGAAGAGGAAGGGAAACCAAAAAGGGAAGAACAGAATATGCCTGAACTCTGAACTTTGGGACTACTGACCTTGATGGTATCAGAGAAGATGAGCGTCTCCTGCATCTGCACCTCCTCCAGAGTGCTGCTGCTCATCCCGGCAATGCCAACGCCTCCTCTCCGAAAAGACGCCACTGCCTCCACCATCCTAGTATCCTCCTCTGTTGCCAATTCCTCTTTTGATCAGAGAGATGAATGCAAGTACAACACAAAACACTTCAAAGAATATTCTTGCGATGGTGGTGGCGAAGAATAGGGGATGCAATTATGGCGGGAGGAGTTCAACGAGCTCCGAGGAAGAAGAAGAAGAAGAAGAAGACCATAGGGAAGGAGAATAAGAAGAAGGCAAGCATGTCATGAGCATGACAGATACTCCTATTTAACTATAGTACCAGGAGTAGTTATGGTGCTGGCCTGGCAATGGCAGCATCAGCCAACAGCTACATATAATAATGCCCGTGCAAACCAAGCCAAGGAGACCAGTGATAACTGCTGCTCTCTAGTCTCTACTTACTCCTCCTCCTGCTACTACTGGATGCTGACTGGTGAATATTCATGGCACAACTGCTAGTAGCAGTTATAGTACTCAGCTAGTTTCACTATTGCTATGTCTGCATGTTCCTCCATTGCCATGCTGATAATCAATTCTCCCTTGTACTATCATCAACTCATTCAGAGCCTGATCCCTACCTCTACAGCAAGGAACAACCAAAACAAATATTCAGAGGGACAGGTCCAGTCTGAGCTCTGAAGTGAAGTTGGTAGGGCTAGCCATGCACTGATTTAATTACAACAGTGCTCAGTTGGTTAAGCAGTCAAGTAAGAGCAAGTACAATAAGCCAGTTTAGCCGGCGATAAAACTGCCACATCGGATTTGTCAATGAGCTAAATAGGAGAGAGAGCATGAGTCGGCGACTAAATTGTTGCCGGCTAAACACACGTCCCAACGCAAGTGCAGCAACACCAGGCTAGCTTTGATTGGGACATGCGATTGTGGGTCCACGTGAGCTGACGCGATGCAGTAATGGTTGGACGAAACAACGGCAATAAGACTAAAAAATTGGATGGGGAAGTTAGCTAAAGATTAAAAAATAAATAATAGTCGATGTAAACCTGTTTATTGTATACATTAGCTCTTAGCAATATCTATAAGAGGCTGATGTGGTTATTTTTCAGCCATTAGCGGGCGACACTATTAACCTTGCTCTAAGTAGATGGTTTGGCTGATACTGTGCATGGGGCTAATCAAAAGTTCAGAAAAGGAGCAGCTGGGCTGAGATTTGATTGGGATGGAGGACAGGACTCCTCTTTGCTTTATTTGCTTCTTTTTCTTTCTAATCTTGTGCATGGTCATGATTTGGCCCCATGCATATGGGGCCCTCCTCATGAGTCATCACACTGACTGCAGGTTCAATCATAATCACAAGAACTCAAAGATGTCTCCTTAACAATTTTAGAATATTTTTATCAGTTAACTACCCCTACCTTGGCAAACTTACTACTACATCAATTCATAAATACTTGCAGGTGCTGACTTTAATAGGTATAATTTTGACATGTAATTTGTGAGCTATACAAAAATACACTCATTTTTTATATTGTAGGGCGTTTGGACTTTTTTTAAAGTTAAACTCTTTTAACTTTGATCAAATTTATATATAAACATGGTAACATTTTTAACACAAAACAAATGTAGTATCAAAATATTTTCAATATTCGATTTAACGAAATTAATTTGGTAGTGTAGATGTTGCTATATTTTTCTAAAGATGTGGTTAAACTTTGACTTAAAAAAATCAAAACATCTTATAATATTAAACAGAGAGAACAAAGTACTTTACATCGCAAATCTATAATTTAATTTGAGAATTATTACTGCTAGCCAAAGCATGATCAGTCAAAGTCAAACTGATATGTATTTACAAACGGGGGTGACCAATATTAATTCATCAAAAGTGCTCCCCCGTACCACCACTCGGAATGAGAAACCCCCTGGAGCAATTGCATGCATCATTACACATGGAATTAAGAAATGCTCTCGTGTTTGGGAGACATCATTGGCTTTAACTCTTGATTAAGCAAAGCCAAACAGTGCTTGTGTGTCCTCTGCACTGTCTCACCCATGAACAGAAGTTGTAATCTTTTTTTTTTCTCTCATGACACGATAGTACTCTTGTGAGACATGCCATGCATGATATGGTCTTATCATCTTCTTCCCTGCTATAGATTGCTTTTACCCATTCTTTCTCGTCTTTTTTCTTTTATCTGTCTCTCACAGATGCTGGCTAGCTTGGGGAGCTTTGATGTGGGTGTGAAATGGACTGATCTCATCTGCCGAGATTCGAAGAGAATTATTGGCGCTCATCGCGGCGGATCACGAGAGATGTCGTAATGTGCTGGATAATTTAAGTGGTGTGACTTTGTTCCCTTTTGTTGGGTTCGTCAAACGGCTATGGTCCTAGCTAATGGCTGCCTCTGCATGTCAGCATGTGTAGTCGCTCGCACGACCTCTAGCATGTGTCGAGTAAGATTTGATGATAAACTATTCCATGCGCGTCTCTCCCCTCATGTTCTCCTGTCGTGACACAAAATTATGCAGCATTGCTTCTGATTCTGCTTCTTCTTATTCCTTTTTTTTTCTCCTAACTTTGGATTTACTAAATGACATTCGGTAGAGAATTTGGTGAATTCTCTACATCTGTGAATTTTTGACTTTTTAGGAACCTGTGAACTCTAGTTGGTGATGGCCAATTGGTAATTGATTATAAGAAAGCACACAACTTAAAAGGGAAGGTCATGATCTGAACCAATATAATCAGGCTAATATTTTGGGTTGGGTAGGCTTAAGGGATGACATCGAGAGTGAATTTTAAACTCTCGAGTGGATGTCCTACCAGCGTACAGCTGAAACGGCAACAACGAACTACGTGAGGAGTCTGAGACACCGCTATTTATGGATCGGTCCAACGCCATGATGCAAGCCCGCTTCTACGTCATATGCAAAGCCCATATACAAGTCTAGGTGAGTCGCCACCCCGGTGACTCCTCGCGCCATAATTGCATACGTACGTATTAAAAAAATTAAAAATACGTCTCGTACACAAATTTATACAAACTTTATATACGTATATGTTTAAACTTTGTATATAAAGTTTGAAGTTTGTATACATACATATTAGGAAAACCAACAAAAACCGGGATAAAAAAAGAAAAAAACCACAAAAAGCCAGAAGGAAAACTAGAGAAACCATCACGCACCCCCCCCCTCCGCGTGCGCCACGTGGCTGTGCTGCGCGGGAGAGGAGGCTCGCATCTATCCGCCATTAGGGTTTTCAGTCCATAGCCGGGTCTTGTTGCATGTTAGCGTGTCATTCCATGTTTATGTGTGTTTTTAATGCATGTATTGGGGGAAAGAAATCGTGTCAGTATGCATGCACTCGTGTGGGCACATTTGGAGTAGTCAACCTAATTACCAATGGCCTGTAGTAGTGTAGTAACCCGCTGCGAGAGTAAGCCAGTCTGTAGTGGTCTTAGGATGACCATAACTCCCACCCGGTTATAAATAATCTGATTTTCAACTCCTGCTCTATCAATACAGTAATATATATAAGGCAAATTTCATGCCTTTCTTTTAAAAGAATTCTAGTAGAAGATTTTGACAAAGAGAAACTTTCATCAATATGTTTAAAATTTCATCTATATGCATACAAAATATTTCATACAAATATTTCTTAAAAAGGTTATAGTGCAAACTTTCATCCAAAGATAAAAATGGCTTTTTAACTCAATAGAAAATTTCTTTTATTTTTTATAAAATGAAGAAATGAAATGCGCTACACGATGTAGAGAAAAGTAGGAAAGCGTGTTTGTGAGCCATCTTAGGGAGCGTTGACTTTAGCTTCCAAGCTGCTAATTAACCACACGATATAAGTGATTAGCGCACAATTAATTAATTATTACATACTTAAAATAAAATTTATTTATTTATTAAACTTCTATATATTTTTTTAGAAAAATACACACTATTTAGCAGTTAGATAAACATGTTTAAGAAAAACGACGAAGTAACTGCAATGATTGAATTAGTAGTTGAGCATATCATTCCAGCGGTACATAGAATGAGACAAGCCTTAGCGCATAATAAATTATTTACTATTACAAACTTTAAAAATATTTATTTTATTTTATTATGATTTTTTATATAGAATATTTTTTAAAACATATTATCTAGTATTTTGGGAATAGTGTTAAAAAAACTGAGGAAGTAGGCTCGAGTTCTTCAAGCGGTGCCTTATCCGAGCATAATCTTTCGATGCCTTAAATAGGAAAAGCTCGTGTTCATAACCCACAACCGTACGCGCATACATACACCGCAAGGCATGCATATCCACACTCACCCATCACCCACCCATGATTCATCGAATACGCCCGTGGCATGCCCTATAAAGCCATAATCGACTAAATATTTTGAACAGATTTCAAATGTTGATCTATATATTATCGTCAAATTCTCCTAAAACTTTTCTTGATTATATTTGTACATATAACATTTCATCTTCAAGAGATGAAATGAAATCACTTTCATGCACACTTTACGTCCCTCAATAACATCCCTAAATCACAACACCAAAAATCTTGGCCCACAACTTACAAAACCAGGTTAGATAGGTCCTCCGGTAATAATATAAATACCTGGTTTCGCTATCATGGCAAGTTGACCGGTCTACTTGAGCTGCCTAGGTATTTGTGTGGCACAAACAAAACTGGGCCCACACAATATTCTCACTCTCCTCCCATCTTCTCTCTCCCTCCTTTCTCTCCCCCCTTTTCTCTCCATCTCTCTCAATGGAGAGAGGAATGGCATCCTCGGTGGCAAGAGAGATGGTGTAGTGGCACCATCTTGTGGGAGGCCGGCACCGATGAGACCAGTGGAATGCTAGTAAGGGAGATGGTGTGGCTGAGCCATCCCCAAATGTCCCACCGTCCATTGCCATTCTTCTCCTCTCTGTCGTCTGCCACCATCGTCCTCCGATCTTCCTCGCCCCCGCCTCCTTCGCCGCCATTTTTCTTGGACAACAGTGGGCTATCACCCCGAAGATCGGGTATAGTACATTAAGCAAGTGCATCCAAACAACATGACACTTGGTAACCATTGAAAAACCAAGCCAATCCCCAAGATGACATTTTGAGGATGGCCAACATCAAAATATTGCTCGGGCATGGCAAGAAGTGAGGAAAGGTTGGGCTGATGAGATAAGATCTCCTAAGAGATGAGAAAGGGACTCAGCAGGAAGAGGAATGAATCATGAGAGAAACACAAAGGTCAACCTTCTACAAATATGGAACATGGATTCTTCACCTCGATAAGTATCTCTGACTCCAGAACCGTGCAATCCAGCCCATCTAACGGGTGCACCCACTTACACTTCCGTCCTCACTTTTTGTAAGAGGGTTAACCCAAAGAGTGATATGACTGGAGGGATAAGACCTTATAAGTTGATTTCATTCTTGCTAGACTAGCAATGCAGTACTAAACATGCGTACACAACTCTCACGGGCCATCAAAATTGGGCCGCATGTCACACTAAGCCTCTGGGTGATGTCATCTAGCAACGCCGGATCCATCCCCTTCCTCTGACTTCTTGAACCCAAACCATCCTCTCAAAACTTCTCAGAAACACATGAGCAGTAACAGTTAAATAACGAACTTTACAGCAAGAAACTTAAGCGGAATTGAAATTTTTTTCCTAGAGCTCTGGAGGCACTGCACCGCTGGGGGTCCACCTCAAAGAAGCCATGCTATTTACCGGCGAACTCGACAAACTCCACATGTTCCCTCCATACCTCCCTTTAGCGCTTGGTGGGGATGGACTCCTGTGCGACTATCTGATGCTCCTAGCGGATGCGCATAACTGACATCAATGTCGGCACGGTCCCGCCATGGTGGCTACTGAAGCTCCTCCCCCTCGTCCCTGCTCTACAAGAAAGATGGGGGGAATAGGATAGAGAGGGGAGGTTAAGACTGCAATGTCACTCATGTGTGAGGCACACTTATAATTTTTATTTATTTCTAATTTTTAAGGTCAGTACGTAGGCACCATGTAAGCTAAAAACCATCCTCCATATTTCCTTAGGACATCGTTTACACTAGTTTTGGGAGATGAGGGATGCATTGTACCCGGTTCTGCGCGCGGTCGAGGACCACGATACAAACTCGACGGAAAGATGAGGGACGGACGATAGACTTATTACTTATTCAATGCGGAATGTGCAGTTAGTGTTATCACTGGGCCTGATCTAAGTCGACCGGGCCATGCTTCCGAAAGCACATCTGACCCGAAAGGCCCAACTGTAGCCCAATAGACTAAAGCCCAGCAAATTGAGGGCATACACCGTCATCATCCGGCAGGCACGTTCACACGTTCGCCCATATCCATCACCCATCCATCGACGATGACGCGCATCCGATGTGTGTGTGTACGTGCACACGTCACACGTCTCTCCGCCGCGCGCGGCCGCACACGACGTCAGTCAAGCGCGGACGCATCCATCATATCATGCATGCATGCAGGCGTTAGTTACCGAGGCGGTCATATCCATCCATCCATCCATCCGTCGATGGTGAGGTAGTGGACGCGTGCGTTTTTAAACAAGCAAACAGGTTGGTTAATTATTACCTGCATCGTCTTATCTGAAAGCGTTTTAATTTTATCCTGTGCACGCGCCGCCGATGAATCTCAGTGGAAATGATCAATCAATCCTCGATCGGCTCGGGAATACACGAACGCATCATGCAATTGATCCACCAAATCTACACATTAATTGCTGCTTCTTGCTCATCTCGCCATCTTTTCCCCCATCATGCGAAATCTCTTTTCAAGATTTACTGTACACACACATCCACATATGTAGGAGTATACTAGTATTCCTACGCGTCTGGTTGTGTGTGTATATAAATAGGCGCACTATTCAGCATCCATCGGCAACTCTGAGATCGATACCATCAATCAGGCTAAATTTGCAGTACGTTCTTCGCTAGGTAGCTTCAGTGGCCAACTGCCGTCGTCGATCGATCGATCATGATGGAGATGCACGAGTGCTGCTACTACGGCGGCAGCATCGGCGGCGACTGGCTCAACCCACTCGCCGCCATCCCGCCGCCGTGTTCTTCCTCTTCTTCTTCGTGGTCGTCGCAGCTTCTCCTCCTCAGGTCAGTGCATTTCATTTCATCATCGCTTTGGTTATTTTTGGTTTTGTAGAATTCACGAGTAGGAGTGTAGTAGTACATGAAACTGACATTGTTGTTGAATCGTCTCGTGTAGTGATCACGATGACGTACTCTTGCACTCCGCCGGCGATCATGGCGGCGCGGTGGCCGGAATAGGCGGCGCCTGCATGACCGCCGATCTCGTTGTCAGGTGAACATCATCATTTCTTCACCTTCTTTCTTTCTTTCTGCAACTCGATGGATTTATTACAGCCTAGAATTTGAACGGTTTTGATCATGTCGTCATCAGGGACGAGGAGATGGAGATGGCCGCCGGCTACCTGCCGGTGGCCGCGTCGGCCGCCGCCGCCGCCGACGTCGACCACTACATGTACCAGCAGTTTCAGCTCGAGCCTGATCAGTTCGTCTCGACGTTGCCCGCGGTGGCGGTGGCGGTGGCGGCGACGGCGGGCGGCGGCAGCCACGACGACGAGCTCCTGAGGATGCCCTTCACCGACATCGACCTCGACGCGTTCGCCGACGCGCGCGACGTCGTCGTCGGCGTCGGCGAGCCCAAGCCCAGTCCCCAGCACACTCTCGACGCGGCGATCGCGCTCCCGGCGGTCGGCGGCGGCGGCGCCCACCACTTCGGCACGCAGGACGACGACGTCAAGTTCGACGTGACCAAGCAACGCAACGACGCCGCCCTCGCCGGCGACGACTCCCTGTCCATGGTGATCGTCGAGAGCTACGAGATGGGCATGCGACGTCACGCCGCCGAGCAGGAGCAGGAGCAGAAGCCAAAGATCATCACATCAGCCGCAACGACATTGACGCCTCTTCCTCTTCCTCCACCGCCGCCGCCGCCGCCGCGCGTGACGAGGAGCCGCCGCGACGGATCATCGGCGGCGACGGCGGGCGGGAAGACTCGGCTGGACCACATCGGATTCGAGGACCTGAGGCGGTACTTCTACATGCCAATCACCAAGGCGGCGAGGGAGATGAACGTGGGGCTGACCGTGCTCAAGAAGCGCTGCCGCGAGCTCGGCGTCGCCCGGTGGCCTCACCGGAAGATGAAGAGCCTCAAGTCCCTCATCCTCAACGTCCAGGCACGCATCAACCTAACCCCTAGAACCTTCTCGATCAGCCTCGTCTTCGTCTTCTTCCTCCAGACCAATTCAGTTCTTGCTTTGCTTGCATTGCACCGTCCGTCCATGGCGTGCAGGAGATGGGGAGCAAGGGGATGTCGGCGGCGGCGATGCGGCGGGAGCTGGAGGCGCTGGAGAATTGCTGCGCGCTGATGGAGAGGAACCCGGCGGTGGAGCTGACGGAGAGGACCAAGAAGCTGAGGCAGGCGTGCTTCAAGGAGAATTACAAGCGGAGGAGGGCGGCTGCCGTCGACGTGCTCGACCTCGACCACTGCTTCAGCTTCGCCGCCGGTCATTGCCACCGCCACCACCACCAGCAGCTGGCTCTGCCGCCGCCGCCAGCTGCCGCCGCCGACCACCGTAGGAGAGATTTCTTCGGCTACTGATTGAACGGCAGCTGCAGCATGCGTGCTCGATCGTAGTGGTACCCAATGATCCATACGTAGTAGTATTGGTAAATAGTAGTGGGATTTTGGCACTGGCAATCCACTAATTAAGTAAATCAGTAGTAATGTTTTGATTCCCATCAGCTGGGTTAATTAAGTTGAACTAAATTGTACATGTTCATATCTAATATGGCTATCTGAAGATCGAGCACTCACTTCTGCTAACTAAGCTTATTTGTGTCCATTACCTTTTTTTTTTTTTTGGCCCCGGGCTATTGTGTTCATTAGCTTGTTGATGAGAATTACTACATTGATTAAAGCTAAATTGTGTTCAGCCTGATATAAAGATATGATACTCTGTTCGTACTCGTAAGGAAAATCGTTTAGGACAATGTTTAAGTCAATTTATAACTCTTAAGTTGTTGAGTTTCAAGATGTAAAAATTATATGAATAGATTTGTCTTGAAAAATACTTTCATAAAAGTATACATATATCAATTTTCAATAAATATTTTTATAGAGACTAGTAGTCAAAGTTGTGTTTTGGAGACCGTATCGTTGTCCTAAACGTCTTCTTTTACGAGTACGGAGGGAGTATGCAGTTTTTGTTGGTTTCAAGGCGAATATTGTTAAATTGAAGTATAGTTTTATAAAAAACAATGTGAATTTTTGAATCCTCGAAGATCCTGAATTTTAAATTTTGAGAATGGAGCTGCATGCATATGCTTGCAGCTAGCTAGCGAGCTCGTCGTGCTGCATGCAAGCCGGCGACATACATACCGGCAATAGCCGCCGGCTTCGCTGTTTTCCAGCTTTCCAGGTATCTCAAAATCTGGGATCAAACTACAGTGTAATAAATCACACCACTTTCTCGGTAAATGTGAGCTCTTAGATTCGAATCTGACGGTCCTTGCCTGCATATAGACATGAGAGAGGAACAAACTAGGGCATCACGTCTAGGTACATTATCTATCAACTAGGACATCCGAGCCCTTAGATTTGGTACCGTATCTATCAACTCGACAAGAGTAGTTACAGTCTACATAATCTAGACAAGGGTAGTATAGGCTCCGGGATTAAAAAAAAAAGAGACTATTTATATATGTATTAACAGAAAATCCCACCTCCCATCTTTCAAATTTTAGCCCGTCGGATATGCTTTAAGATTCGTGCATAGTATTAACCCTAACTCTCCTCCTATTCCCCTCCCCTCACTCATTCCACTGCCGCCACTCCCTCCCATCGCCCATTCCACCGCCTCCGCCCGATCCCCCGCCGCCGCCCGCCTCGCCGATCGGCCAAAAGGCGTCAACGGCGCCGGCGATCGCCCCCCCTGGCGGGCCCCCTCCCCCTCCCTCTCCTCTCCTTTTCCTCAAGCGAGTTGTCTCGCGCTGCCGTCTTCTCCGTCTCCAGCGACGGGGTGCCACCACCGGCCTCTTCCTCCTAATAATCCGTCCGCTTTGCCCTGTCGCCTACGCCGGTCCACCGCCCGCTCCCGACCCCACGGTTTCGGCGGCACCGCCGCTGCCTCGCCGCAGCTCCCGACCCCACGGTTTCGGCGGTGCCGCCGCTGCCTCGCCACCGGGCTGTCGCCTCCTACGGCCATCCCTTTAAAGCCGGCGAACTCCCCCCTCTTTCTCCTCCCACCCCCACCCCACCCTGGGACCCTAATTCGTCGGCCCTCTGCTGGAGTTTGGGTTAGCCAGCACCCGAGAAGAAGAGGAAGTTGCCAGAGTTGGAGAAGAAGAGCACGAATCGTGAAGCACATCCAGTGATCTAAAATTTGCAAGATTTGAGGTTGTATTTTCAGTCGACAGAAGTTTAGCAATTCCGTAAAAAAAATGCATTAGAACCACAACGAGATGATAAAATTTGTAAAATTTGACGACTTTCAAACAAAATTGCACGAGAACAGAGCAACTTAGGTAACCCTCGAATTTTGTTGTGGAAATCGTGACCTTAGCCTCGAGCAGGGTAAATTTATCTTTTCGATTTTCATTTTTAAAGTAAAAACAACTTCCCACCGTTTTACCAAAAACACCATATGGAAACCAACTAATACCGACCGGTTTCACAAAGCCTGATCAGTTCTGTGAACCCTGGTCTCGAGAACATTTCATGATATTTTCATCGGCTGTACTATGCTATCTACAAGTAGGGGTAGATAACGATCCAGCTCAACTCGTTAAGGCTCAGCTCGTTTGAGCTCGTTGTTTTAACGAGCCAGCTCGGCTCGGCTCGCGAGTTGGCTCGTTAAGCTCGTTAACAAGCTATATCTCATTAATACCATATTAATAATTTTAAATTTAAGATTTTATTATGTATTAACATAATAATAAACACTAACTAATATAGTACTCACTAAATATGAATAGTTTTGATGTAACTAAAAGACTAAGCACTAGTCAAGAAACACTAAGTTCATGAAGATATGGTGATATTTTATACTAACGAGCTAAAGGAGCAGCTCGCGAGCTAGCTCGTTAAGCTCATGAGCTAAAAGGCTAGCTCGACTCGACTCATTAAAACTACGAGTTCGAATTGATCTGAGCCGAGCTTGCTACGAGCCGATCCGAGCCACGAGTTTCGAGCTTTTTGTCCACCCCTATCTACAAGTGAAGGAACTTTCAAATAGCAGGGCAAATGAAGGGAAACGCAGCAACAATCAATCGTACTGAAGAGGATAATTCATGGGCCATAGATCCCAGGATCAACAGATATTATTCAAAAAACCCAGTTGAAGCACATTACAAAACCAAAACAAGTTTGAAGGCAACACCACACAGTTATCTAGGTGTTACAGCCCAGAACGCAATGTCTGTAATTCCTAATAATGTTCATTGATTTCTTCAGGTGCAGCTCTCTGTCACAAAGGCAAAGCATATCCTATATCACCAAATATAAGAGCAAGTCAGGTCATGAATACACAATCGTTGCCTCATTTCAATTACGAGTTGCTTTATCTCCGGCTCAAAATAAAAACAGGAATGCATTTGGTCATTATCAAGATTGACTGAAAACCAGAGTCAAGCATGTTGTTACAAAGGAACTAACTTTTTGCTTGCTCCATTATTGTGCTAACAGGAGTACACACATGGAGCAACTGCAAAAACTGGAGTTCTAGAACTATCTGCAAATAAATGCAATTTGTTTAAACTCAGTGTGTCTTCGCTTCACTGCAGCACAGCTCCTAGCCATGATCAGATGCGCTTTTTTAAACCTATAATAACCCAGAGTCAAAAGATAGAAACCCCATACTTTTAATAAAGGAAAAACATAATATTTTTTTAAGACGAGCTAACCTTATCTACAAGCATCTCAATTCAATGTATCACTATCCACATGGATTCAGTAATTTACTTAACCAGACTGGAGGACTACAGCAACAACAATCCTTCGAATTTCAGAAACAAGAAAAAAAAAAGTGGAAATGCAGTTCGCAACTAGATTCTTGATAGTCTACTATACTAACCAATTAACAAATATTAGTAAATCCAATAAACCCTTGTTTTAGAACACAACAAAATCCATGATTTCAACATAAAAAGAGCAAGGGAACCACAAGCAACAGTTGCATTTGTTAATTCATTACCAACATGAAAAAAGGAAGTAGTATTAGTTTTTGGTCATGAATGCAAACCTTAAATGCAAGCATCTTTCAACAAAATTTTGCCCAGGAAGCTCATCCAAAGAAAGTTTGCCCTTACCAGAGAAGCTCAAGAAGATCAAACTTACCAAGTGTCTATGTGTCTACAAATCAATGAATACGAACCCAAGCATTGTAGAAAATTGTTCTATGGGCTTACTGATAAATACCTCAGCAAGGTTTTACAGTAGCAATAACAGCAGGAGATCAACAAAAAATGTTTCTATAGATCTCAGCTAAGCCTCCTTACGTCTAGTCATACCAAAAGAGCTCACAGAACAGAAAGCAGAAGCTCTAAGTTGGTCACAAATGTAGGGAATAACAAAGTACAAAAAATGCACCAAGCCCTTCAAGTGAAAAATCCATGTATTTTGAAAAACATTCTCCTTCAGATATAGTCTCTGATCATTTTATTTTTCAAAAAAAAACAACAGATATTAGGAAAATAAATTGTCAAAGGTGTATCAATCTATCAGTGTTAGTGTATCAAACGAAAAATATAAAAAAATGGAGGTATTACAGGGTAAATCAAACAAAGTTAACCAATAAAGGAAGGGTTGCCAGCTAAATGCGAAAACTACACAACCCAAAGGCTTCTAGAATGTCATATGTCAGTGTTTGTTTTTCTAAAGTAGTAGTACTCTGAACTCCTACGCTTTCTGTAAAGCTGGATGATATATCTTGTGTTCAAACTATTTAGTGAAAAACGATGCCTCATATCTAACTGACAAAGAACATAACTTACAACTCATACCTTAACTACGGATTTTAGCACGACAATTTTTCTAGGTGCAGACCAAGTTTTGAACAGCACAGACAATAATTGCAAACTGAGTGGTGCACAAACCAGGATGGTACTATCAACCGATTCTATTTTTAGTTTCTGTAAACCAAGGATTGGTAATAAGTTGCATGGTTTCACTGAGGAACTCTATACTGAACCGACAATAAGCATACATCCACAAGAATAATTCACACACACCATGCAACAATCAACAACAGATCCAATGCAGGCTTACGTTTGCAAATGTGAATATCCATAAGATTAATCCGAAAGGGAGGGGAAGCATTGTCGGCGTTTACCTTGGGACAGCGAGCTCCAGCAGGAGGAGTCAGCGGCGATGCAGGACCTCAGCCGCGCCCCGGCCACCGCGCTGTGCAGGGGCATCAGCGTCTCCAGCCCCGCGGACGCCGCCGCCGCCGACCTGCACCGATCCCATAAAGCAAGCGCACGCCACCATGAACCCAATGTATATGTACGACGATGATGCATCGAACTCTCACAAGTTTAGCCTAGGCGCCTACCTGCGGAGGATGCGGGCGGCCCGGGCGGGGGCCAGGGGCGTGGGGAGCGGCGAGCCGAGGACGCGGCCGGCGAGTGGCGCCGGGCGGAGCGCGGCCCTCGCGGCGGAGGCGGCGGCGCGGGCCAGAGACGCCATTATCTTTGGTTGGAGACGGAGACGAGAGGCGGCGGCGGCGGTGGAGTGCGCGAGGGCGAGGAGAAGTGGCGGCGGAGAAGCGAGGGGAGGAAGGAGGGCGTCGGCTGAGACTGAGAGTGGGACCCACCCGAGCCGAGCAAAGAGTAGGGCAACGAGCGGTATGGACGGTTGGATGCTGGCCTTCTGGGCTGAATCGGACGGCCACGACGAGGAAAGGTGTGATCAGCAAGACAGCAGCAAATGCTTTGTGCTCCCTCCTTTTCTAGATATTCGACACCATTAACTTTTTAAGCACATATTTGACTGTTCGTCTTATTCAAATTATTTTTTAAATATATAAGACTATATGTATACATATAAGTATATTTAACAATGAATCAAATGATAGGAAAAGAATTAATAACTACTTAAATTTTTTGAATAAGACGAACGGATTTAAAAAAATCAACGACGTCAAACATTTAGAAACAGAGGGAGTAACTTGTAAGAGCATTTCTGACAGCCTCTCAAAATCAGACTTTCCAAACATTTATATAACCAACTCTCCATCCGATTTGGCTAGTCAAACTAGTTATTTACTCCAACAGCCTCTCCATCCACTCTCTCTACTTTGACTCTATGACACCGGGACCCATATGTCAGCCTCTTCCTTCTTCTTCCTCCTCTTTCTTCCCTTCTTCCTCTTCTCTTGCGTTGGCATACCACGGCACGCGGCATCGAGGAGCAGCGAGGCATCAGCCCAGGCGCTGGAGGCGGGTATGGAGGGCGGCGACGGCGGCGGAGCGGAGGAAGAGGAGTTCACCTCCATAGATATAGACCCGCGGATGTAGAGGCAACTGGATATGGAGCTCGTGGGCGAGGGAAAGGGGCAGGGGCAGCCCGCCGCTCCCTCGTGCCACTCTCCTGCAGCGGTGGCTTGGCAAGGCGCGGCGGCAGAAGTGGGGTTTTACTGGGTGGGGAGGCGGCAGCGGCATGCGTCGGGGAAGGCAAGCGATGAGTCCTCATGCTCCCTCGCAAACGACGGAGTTGGCGGAGATGGGGACGATGGAGATGGGAACGACAACAGAGATGGGGACGACAACGGAGGCGCGACGGCGGGCACGGGCGGAGATGGGGACAACGACGGAGAGGGAGGGGCCGCATGTCCCAACTGTGCCGGACAAAGAGGGAGGATGGCATGAGAGAGGAGAGAGATGGTGGGGCCCACATTTGGCTAGTCTGTTTGAATGGCCAAATTTGGCTAGTTGGGAGAGGAGTTTGACCAGTCATTTTACTTGGCCATCTGAATAGAGAGTCTGTTGGAGTACTATTTTCTGCTAAAGTTGCCAAAATTTAACTTGGAGAGTCTGATGGAGAGGCTGTTGGAGATGCTCGGGCCGTCCAATCTAGCGTATCTGGATCAGAGAGAGCACTCGATGAAAAAAAAATTAAAGAAAAAAAGAAAGATATGTTTATACGGAGTACATACTTAAACCATACAGTATGTGCCAATTTAAAACGTATCGATCCATTAGTGGACTATAAACAAATATTCTCTAACTCTATTTATCTTCTTCTTCCAAGTTCTAAGATATACGCAATAGATATCCTTTTCATAGTAAGATTAATGTTTGTTGCAGCTTTTTATGGTTACAAGCGTTTAGTTGAATTGTTGCAACACTGTATTTGAGTTGTTTCTTGAAGAAACTATTTTTTCCTGCTTGTTTTTTTTTAAAAAAAATATTGCATTACATCAATCTCTTGTCGTCCATGTGTGCGACCTTTTACCTTTTTCATTTGGGAAGCGGACATGTTTCTAACCCACGTCCAATGTGCAACGACCCATTTGCATGCATGTATTCGGCCCAATAAAAAAAAGCTTGAAACCATTTTTTAAAATAACACAGTAGAAACGTAGAAGCTCGTAACGAGCGCATACTCACTTTCATGAATACACACATCCTGTCCTTATGAGCACATCTAAAATATTATACCAGCGTATGTTGAGATTGATGAAGTCACACGGACGACTTATATACATGGAAATTTTCAATATAGAAACTTTATAATCCCTCTCTAATAATATAAACACATTTGGAGTTCTTTTAATTAAGATCAAGATGAGTAATGGTTATGATTGATTGAGATGTGAAAATATGTGAAAATATTAAATGAGATATGACTGTGCATGATTGGTTTGGATGAGAAAGCATATGGGGATGTGCTTATATTCTTGGACAAATTTTAAATTTTATATGTGTTTATATTCTTGATAAGGAAATGCATAGCAATATTCAACAAAGAAACTTTATGTATGGGAATATTCAAATTGAAAAAAGAACACGAATGACCATAGGGTCGCAAGTGTTCAGCCCAAAACGGATTTGGAGTTCCGAAAGAATTTCCGCCAGACCCTTTAGCTGTACCAACAGAAGACTTTTTATTATGTACTCCCTCCGTTTCACAATGTAAGTCATTCTAGCATTTCCCACATTCATATCGATGTTAACTCATTAACATCGATATGAATGTGGGAAATGCTAGAATGACTTACATTGTGAAACGGAGGAAGTATGTAGTATCGATTATATCTTTTGATAAATTCCTGCAGAAAGATAAAATCGTTTTGATGTTCCTTAGCGACAAGTGGGATTTTATATACAGCTGCTGAATTCAACTTGTTAAACAATGGTAATTTGCTAAACATAAAATGGATACTGTTTTTCATTTGAGATAGTAGATTATAGTTTCAGGGTTTTGTTAGGATTTTCTCTACCTATTTCAACTATTAAAGCCTCTGGATTTTCCTCTCTTTTCTAGCGAGTTTTGGCTTAAAAGTTAAGTCAAGTCAATGACTAGAAAGTAAAGGGTCTCTACCCTGCATAACCATAGGTGGTTTTGCCTATCTTCTCAAGTCAGATATGGTACATGACATATGGTTATGTAGCCTATCTGATCAAGTGAGATCCGCGACAAGTCAGAACCAGGGTCGGTGCCTTGTTTGTCACCGCCAACCTTTCCCCCTTATGGCTGACTGAATGAAATATTGCAGTTCACTCTGACTCCAGTTCGTTACCTACTCTATATCTGAAGATTGACCACGGCGTAACGCCTTATCACTTTACACCTTGCTTTGAGTTCGATCCGCCTATCCACTGAATTGAATAAGTAAATCTCAAAACCTTATTATTTCAACGGATTCTCTAATAGCATCACCAAGAGCATCCCAAAATTTTAGTTATAATTCTCCTCAGCGCGTCTTCGCTTCCATCATCGGCGTTGACGGAGCGTGGGGCTCCTCACCGGGAGACCGCGCTGGCCCCCCTTTGCCGGTTCGGCCGGGGACCCTGGGTGAGACTCTAAACTCCCAATCTGTGGAAGGTTCGCGAGACAGGAAGCACACAAGATGCCGGCGATGTATACAGGTTCGGGCCGCTGAGAAGCGTAATACCCTACTCCTGTGTTTTGGTGGATTCGTGTATGAAGGAACTACAAAATATGAGCCAGCCTCTCCCTCGTTCTGGGTTCCCAATCTGGAAAAGTCCAATCCCCTCTCTAAGTGGGCAAGGTCCTCCTTTTATATCTTAAGGGGATACCACATGCACCATCTCCCCCTCTCTTTCTTCCAATTTGACTTCTCTTCATTAACAGACGGAGATTTGCATCGCCGCCGTCCGAATGACCTTCTGACGGGACGGCCCATACCTACCTCCACTTCCGCCGGAGGTAGGCACGACGTGGGAAGATGGCTGTCTGCTGATGACTTGACCATTGTCAGACCGGTCACAAATCGGTCATTCTTGTCCACCACGTGTCAGTTTAACAATCTGCATGTTCGCCCTTCTTCATACAATATCTTGCCTGTAATGGTTAGGATGAAGCCTGGCATATATCTGACCGGAACCAACGTGCCATCTCCAGGAGCTAACACGCCGGCTCCAGCTAGGGACGAGTGCTTGGAGGCTCTCGTCCTGACGGGATGGGGCGAGGCGTGCGTCAGACCGCCTGTCGCCACCTAACCCATGATCTGACCGGTCTGTGACTGGTCACAGACCGGATAAACGAGCGTGCTGTACTGCGATACATGCGGCGTGACGCGCTCGTCAAAACTGCAATAAATGTGGTTAGGTGAGCCCCGCCATGCTCACCTACCCCATATACGTGGCGCAAAACCCACAAGGGGGGTCGGGGCGCTTCGGCCCTCGGGGCCGAGACGGGAGCGCCCCGACCCCTTGGGGAGACAAAGAGAAGGGCGGCCGTATCACCCTCGGGCCCGACCCCCCCCGAGGGAGTTAGGCCACGTGGGTGATCGTGTCTGCCTCAAGTCTCTAAGTCATGATACTCCCGGTAAAGAGGAGGGCGAACACATCACCCTCGGGCCCGACGCCCCCTGACGGTGCCAGGCCACGTGGGCGATTGTGTCTGCCTCAAGCCTCTAGTCATGATACTCCCGGTCCCATGTCACCGACAGTAGCCCCCGGCGTTATGCCAGGGCGATCGCCCTCCTCGAGGGAAGCGGTCGGGCGTAACGCCACTTCCTAAGGCCTGGTGACAGGTGGGGACCGGTCTCCACAGTTGGGCAGAAACCCAACGGCCACAAATTACGCACATCGGCAATGGTAACTCGGCTGTCAATAATGAGCGGTCTCTTCAAGACTGCCACATTACTCGAGTAGCACACGAATCTGGACATGGCGATTCGTTTCGTCTGGAGATATGGTAACGTCGCTTCGGTCGGCGAGCGTAATTAACGCGCGCACGATATGATCTATCTCGACTGCCACAACCGCATATCCACCTCATGCGCCGCAAGCGGGCGAATGGGATTAGTGGAAGCGTGGGCGCGAGAAACGAGGGGGCGAAATAGTGGGCGCGAGAAGCGAGGAGCCGGGCACAGCGTTGGCAAGAGTATAAAGGCACTGAGGAAGGGATCTGTTTCCTTCCTTTCGCCATTATTCCCCTTGTCTTCGCCGCTTGCGCCCTAACTCCTTCTTTCCTGTGCCCTACCTTCGCCACACGCGCTCGCTCTTAATCTTCTCTTCCTCCGGCGCCATGGCACGGGGCTCCGCTCTGCTCGATGGTAGCGTGCTGCCGCCTTCCCGCATCGTGAGCGAGAGGCAGGCTGGGCTGCCGCGCCG